CCCCCCCACACACACACACACACACACACGTACGCCTACATACACGCGCACACACGTGCACACGCACACGCACACACACGCACACTCGCGTATAAAAAATCTTTTCAGTCAACATTACCGAAGTTGCATTTATAATTTCTATATTATGATGAGTATGATTGCTATTTTTGAATATTTAGCTGCGTTCAATCTCGTCCCCCCCACACACACACACACACACACACGTACGCCTACATACACGCGCACACACGTGCACACGCACACGCACACACACGCACACTCGCGTATAAAAAATCTTTTCAGTCAACATTACCGAAGTTGCATTTATAATTTCTATATTATGATGAGTATGATTGCTATTTTTGAATATTTAGCTGCGTTCAATCTCGTTGAAAAGAATATGGGTTTGTATTTTGCAAATTGCATCGAAAGGCAGCATCCGCGGTTTCCTGGACCGCCAGCCAGTCCAATCACCAAGCCGCTTTTTGGTCACCTGACCGCAAACTCTGAGTCACGTGACCCAGGCTCCATTCTCGCCATTTTGCAATGTGAGCGACCGAGGCGACTTTTTTTTTCTTTTTTTAATGACTGGCAAATAAAACTAACGCGAGCACTTGCATGCTTGGAGGACAAAGAGCGCGGCGACTCGGTGAGTATTTAATTTCATTCACAAGTCTCAGTGTAGTAATATGTTGGTTACCCATTAACCGCAGATGAAAAGTCATGCTTTTCCGGCGGGTTTTTACACGCTTATGTACTGGGTTAGCCTCCGCGCTAACTGATGCTAACGTGGCCAAACTTGATGTTTCACCTTTGACGCTTTTGTTTTGAAACTAACACGCTCTCTCGCCATTTAGCACCACCACAGACGTGTCGGCCTGTTAGGTTACTCAACGTTTGGATGTGTTTTAACTCGAATTCCACAAATGGAAATGAAACAAGGTGACATATTTTTAGATACGGCCGAACAGGTGCTCGCTGGAGGCTGTCCGGGCCTGGCGTTTCCCAAAGAAGTACTCAAATTGAGCCTTAAAAAGCTTCCAAACGCGCGCAACTTTCATATTACAAATTCGTGAATGGCTGAGGGTGTTCCAATTCTGTATTCCACACGCGTGAGTAACTCCGCAAAGCAGAAGTGGTGAGAAAAGAGGAAGGCGATTGGTAAAGAGAAAGTGAAGGATTCGAGAAAGATGAAAGGAAAGGACGTGCGGTCATTTCCCCTTCCAATAGCGACGTCAACAAAAGCACGTGTGTATGTGTCTTTTCCAAGTCACACTTGTCATCACGCTCCCCCTTTGCAAGATGAAAAGAGCATTCCAAATCGGTTGGGCCAATGCACAGATTTGACACTGACACAATTTCATTGCACCAAACAAGCACGGCAAAAGTATTAAAACCAAAATAATGATTTACTCGAAAAGTTAGTTTACTCGGTTTGAAATCTGGGCCTGTTTTGTTGAGCGCAAAGCTATTATTACATGATGTAAACATTACGCCTCAAGCTGGAAAACAACCAAAAGTAGACAGAGATGTGGCTTGAGCAGGCAAAGTCATCATTGATTGACATAGGCACAATAAAGTCACGAGCGACGACGCTGCTAAGTCATCATTGATTGACATAGGCACAATAAAGTCATGAGCGATGCTGCCGCACAGCATCACTCCAGTGGAACATCAGTGGCTTTTTTTTTTTTACATGACGTTTGTCATTCACTCCATGAACTGCATCATCTTTTCTCATGATCGCATGACATGGGAGGCCTTTGCATGAATCGGTACCCAAGAAGTAACTTTCAGTTTCAAAAACGCCGGCGAGTACATCACTCCCTCTCGTGTGATACTGCTTCGTTGTTTGGTTTTGTTTCATAATCAAACAATAAACACAATAATCCATTCATACTTAGTAATTGGACAAAAAATGATGTAGCTGTCCACTTTAATGCAAAATAGAGTTTTATTCAGTTAATTATTGCACTTATCGACTCTACAAAAATATTCAATCCCATCTGCTGGGATCTGTTAGTCATTACAGTGGTTTACAAGCCTGAATTTCACGGACAAGCTGGGCGAGACCCTCTTCCACATCTTACCTTTTTCTTCAGACCAACATGAAGAATATATGCGTTGGTGGCAGTAAACAGTCAGATTCCCGTTGACAAACATCACCATCCGTGGCAGTGGAATCAAGTTAATTTCCAATCGTGGATTTCTGCAGTTGGCAGCGCCCTTCATGAAGGAAATACCGTGACGCTGCAAAACAACAGGGCAGAAGAGCCTGTCCACGTTTTGAAACTAGATCGGCTTTGATATGAATACGATTTAAGCATTTGTAAGAGAAAGAGCTTTTGCACTTCACTTGGACACTTTTGTGGATGACATGTGTCTCACGTCAGGACATGGAGGACATCAACAGTGTCGCAGTCCTCATCGCCGCCGCTGCCGCTTCCTCATCCACGCCTTCGTCGGAGCCCCACGAGCAGCAGCGCATCGCCGACGCCTCCAAGCGCAAGCCGGACACCGACTCTCTCATCCAGGTCATTGAGAAGCTGAGTAAAATCGTGGAGAAGCGACCCCAGCGCCGCTGCACCCTGACGGGACACAAGAGGTTCCAGCCGAGAGCAGAAGGAGACTCGCCTCACAAGAAGCTGAGTGTGGCGCTCGTGGATGGAGACCTCAACAACAACAACAACAACGCGAACGACCGTGGCGAGCTCAAGCCTGCGGTCACGTGCTACCAATGCAGCCTGTGCCCCTACCTGTCACCCACGCTTCCGCTGCTCAAGGAGCACCTGAAGCAGCACAATGAGCACAACCAGGACCTCATCCTCATGTGCTCAGAGTGCTGCTTCAGCTCCCGAGACCAAGCGCAGCTGGAGGAGCACGTCAGGATGCACCTGGACAACAGCGCCGACGCCATGGAATGTGAACATGGACCCGGGAGGGATGCTGAACCGGTGGACTCAGAGGTATGGCGATAACTTTTACTTTGCGATAGTACTAATGATGTCAACCGTTTGGGTTCCTGTACATTGAGCCTCTGACAACTACAGCGGGCTCAACCCGTTGACTCCGATGACTGCCAGAGCGTCGCCTGCTTGGGTATGAAGGTCCTTATGACGTGTTTATTTTGCTACCGTTTGTTCAATAAAACGATGGGAAGTCTGCCGGTGGCCGGCCGTGTGAGTCCTTGACCACTTGTGGGGACGTTCCAAATGGAGCTCCGAGACTAATATTGATGACGTTCCAAATGGAGCTCCGACACTAATATTGATAAAGAGGATGTGCTGTTGTAGGCCATTAGTTCATACTGCTTTGCACTACACGCACTGCACTTTATGTTCTTTTTTTTTTATTTTTTTTTTTTATGTAAAATGATCCCAGACTTCGGACATTATTGATGTATTCTTGTGTCATGACTCGTTGCCATTTCCGCATCGTATTTCTCACGTGACTCAGTCGTCTGTGTCGACCTTGGACCACTGTTGTGCTAAACTTGCTAAGCTATCCTTCACAAATCTCTCTCCTGCAATATGACCCAAGTGGAGTTGTCCCAATCTTGCTCTCAGTGACACAATTGTGCTCCCGAACGTTACCAATGTTTGCTCTGCTCTGCTCGCCAGTGTGTGGGTGACGGCGAGCAGCATCAGCAGCGGCAGAAGAAGAAAAAGAAGTGGTACATTTACGAGGAGTACGGCTTGTACCGTTGCCTGATCTGCAGCTACGTGTGCAGCCAGCAGCGTATGCTCAAGACGCACGCCTGGAAGCACGCCGGACTCCTCGACTGCTCCTATCCCGTTTTCGAAGAAGAGGAGGAGGAGGTGGAAGAGACGGGAGCTACCTCAGTCGTCGTAGCGTCCGCCAGTCAAGAGGCGGAGTCCCAGACCGTCTCAACCGCCTTCAAACTGTGCGTGCCGCTTCGAGACTGCAGATCGAGTCCGCCCCACCTCGCCAAAGAGGAGCCGGGCGAGTTCGCTCTCAAGGATTTGAGTCCCGAAGAATCTGAGACAGAGTTGCACGTTGCCACGGAGACAGAGGTGGAGGCCGAGACGGCGTCTGTGGCTGACAGCCTGCTGACGTCAGCACAGAAGATCATCAACAGGTAAAACCCATGCTGCCAGACACTCGCGCTGACATCACATGGCAACCCACCAGGCCCCGCCTCATCAAGGCACAGGCACGTAAACGGACGCAGCAAAATATGTCGTTTTGTACACCTTTTATGCCTACAATTAATGTTTTTCTTTTTTCAACGGCCTTATTTCAATGTATCGAGTGTTCGCCTCGGCTGCCGATAACAGTCACCGATACTTATGGCGCTCTCTTTTAGCCATTTTACTTTCACACACTAAATTCGCGTTCCGCTGCTGATTCCGTTCTATGTTAACGTGTGATCCAATAGCGACCCCAAAAGCGCCGGACACATCAACGTGATCGTGGAGCGTCTGCCGTCCGCCGAGGGCGCCGCCATGGCCGCTGCGCCGCTGCTGCTCGACCCAGAGGCGGACGCCGGCCAAAGCTTATTGGATGTCAAAGAAGAGAAGGAGCACGCGCGAGGCGGCGACCCCCCTCCAGACGAGAACGTTCCACCGGCCGGACGCAAGAGGACGCACTCGGAATCGCTTCGTCTTCACTCGTTGGCTGCTGAGGTCCTGGTCGCCATGCCCATGAGGACCCATGAGCTCAGACCCGAGGCGGCGTCCGTGATGGAGCATCACGAAGATGTGGACGGGGACCCAGGGTTCCTTCGCAAGTATGAATTTTCTTTTTATCCGTTTCAAGGTCTGGAAAACAGAGTTCCTACATGTTTGGAGAATAAAAAGTGAAACTTAAAAACCAAAAATGAAAATCAATCATACAAGATCAAAGATCATACAAGATCGTTTGATCTTGTATGAGAAGTAAAGACATTTTTGAAATCAGCATGAAAAAAATGCATCGGCAAATGAAAGTTTGCTGTTGACAATTTGAGCCAGTCCAAACCCTGGTACTGCAATGAAAGACCAATCAACCTCAAAAAATTCTGGGGGAAATTCTCGGTTGGTTTTACAACAAATGACGGTGCAGAAAAAGAAGCCATTTTTGACATTTGAAATGTGTAGGACTCCCGAAGGCACCGCCGCCACCAACGCCGGCATCAGCTCGTCTCTGCTCACCGTCATCGAGCGTCTTCGCGAGCGCTCGGACCAGAACGCCTCGGACGAGGGACGCCGGCCAAAGCTTATTGGATGTCAAAGAAGAGAAGGAGCACGCGCGAGGCGGCGACCCCCCTCCAGACGAGAACGTTCCACCGGCCGGACGCAAGAGGACGCACTCGGAATCGCTTCGTCTTCACTCGTTGGCTGCTGAGGTCCTGGTCGCCATGCCCATGAGGACCCATGAGCTCAGACCCGAGGCGGCGTCCGTGATGGAGCATCACGAAGATGTGGACGGGGACCCAGGGTTCCTTCGCAAGTATGAATTTTCTTTTTATCCGTTTCAAGGTCTGGAAAACAGAGTTCCTACATGTTTGGAGAATAAAAAGTGAAACTTAAAAACCAAAAATGAAAATCAATCATACAAGATCAAAGATCATACAAGATCGTTTGATCTTGTATGAGAAGTAAAGACATTTTTGAAATCAGCATGAAAAAAATGCATCGGCAAATGAAAGTTTGCTGTTGACAATTTGAGCCAGTCCAAACCCTGGTACTGCAATGAAAGACCAATCAACCTCAAAAAATTCTGGGGGAAATTCTCGGTTGGTTTTACAACAAATGACGGTGCAGAAAAAGAAGCCATTTTTGACATTTGAAATGTGTAGGACTCCCGAAGGCACCGCCGCCACCAACGCCGGCATCAGCTCGTCTCTGCTCACCGTCATCGAGCGTCTTCGCGAGCGCTCGGACCAGAACGCCTCGGACGAGGACATCCTCAAGGAGCTGCAGGACAACGCCAACGCCGCCCCGGAATGCCCGGGGGCGCCTCCGGACGGGAGCCTGGTGGACTACGAGGCCGGCAGCGAGCGGCCGTATCGCTGCCGCCTGTGTCGCTACAGCAGCGGCAACAAGGGCTACATCAAGCAGCACCTGCGCGTGCACCGCCAGAGGCAGCCGTACCAGTGTCCCATCTGCGAGCACATCGCCGCCGACAGCAAGGATCTGGAGACGCACATGATCCACCACTGCAAGAGCAGGACGTACCAGTGCAAGACGTGCTCGCAAGCCTTCCACTACAAGGTCAGCAACGTGCTCGTACAACTTCCAGATTTGCCAACAACACGATTAAACGAGCCTTCGTTGCATATTCTAATATTTTATCGGCGCCGAGCACCAGGCATGACAAACACTTTCGTTACTCCCGCCAAAATGGACTTTATTCCCATCATATTACAGACTTCAAAAATATATCTTTCTTGTACAAGTGACCCCTTAAAAAAATCGCAGGCGAGCGTTTGGCGTCTCCTTTCGGCAACTGGCAGCTTGACGCGGCGCCAAATATTTGAATCGGTCACGTTATTTCCCATGTCTCGTTGGCGTGCACGAAGCCTCATACGTCATCAGCACGTGATCGCCGAGATTTGATCCGAGCTTTTGATACGCTGTTCTAAGAGGTCTGTCTCACGCAGCCGACGCGGGCTCCGGAGTCTCCGTAACAAACCCATCACTCTTTGAATATGTTTGCACCTTACAACACACTGGCACACATCTTCCACACTCACGACACGACTGACTGGACCGATTCTTCACATGCGGATGTTCTTTACTTAACATTGCCACTGAACTTCATATACCATTAGGTTACATTCGATATTTCGTATTTTCGCATGGACACGGTGTGTTTTCACGACCTGTTTTATCACCCAAGGTCGCAACGGGATCATCTGAAAGTGTCGAGCACGGGACTGGGAGAGCTCGCTTGAACAACACGGACTAAAATTCTCCATGTTTCCGTGTTTGTGTTTTGGTGTTTCAGAGTCAGTTGAGAAGTCACGAGAGGGATCATCACAGCTTCGTCGGCGTTGACGCACCAGCGCTGGCGGCCGTGGATGAAACGGTCGCCGCGCCCGAGGAAGCGGAACGCGCCCCGGATGAAGGTGAGAAACTCTGATCCGGGGTCAGTTGGAGAACTGTCTGTTGAACTGGCCACGGACTTTGCGTAGGTCTGTGATGATCATCTTCTCGTTCACAGAAGGCGCTCTTCAGAAGACGTTTAAGTGCGACGCGTGCAACTACACCAGTGCCACCTATGTGGGAGTCAGGAACCACAGACGCATACACAACTCGGACAAACCTTACCGGTGAGGCTTATACTGCAAAAAAAAAAAAAAAAGATATTTAAAAAAAAAAATGGGGGTTATGTCAACCGTAAAGCGGCTGAAGTTGACAACACCAATAAAGTCACTACGTTTGATCAGAAATTCATCAATTGTCGAAATAAAAGCACAGAGTGATGTAGAGCAGCTTGGTTTAACATTTGCATCTTGATACTTTTGCACGTTTGAAGGTAAAATCTGGCCAATACTCCATGTTTATATTTTGACACTTGGAAGCACAAACTGAAAAAGTCATTATATTAAAGTAAGCAATACGGTGTCTCATTCCCCCCCTCACAAAAAAAGTGGTGTTCCACAGAGTTTCGTTCTGTAACCCACGTTTACTTATCAGGTATTATATGTTTTTTTTTTTTCTATTTGTGCATGTAATTTGGCAGACGCTTGTCCGAGACCCTTGCTGCTCTCTACAAATCCGCTAGGTGGCAGTAGAGCACTATAGAAGCTCTATTCTCTGTGCTTTTGGTGCAGGGAGCTCAAATGTGGCGCTTGAATCCAAACCAAGCCCAAGGTTGCATTTTCTCTGCGCTGTTTGCGTCTGGAAAATGTTTGTTTATTCTGGGTCAAAGCATGTGAAAGTGGAGTTTGAAGAGGTTCAAGAGCAGGAGAAAACTGTTTTTTCAATGCACTTTGTGTACTCGGCAGGTGCACCCTGAACTTCCTTTTCAGGCGTTTGTGTGCTCTGCGTTATTAGACGGCATTTTGCACACGCTGTTGGATTAACTTGTCACAACACCAACATTGGTGGAATGGAAAAAAAAATCTAAATGCTATGACAGGTAAAAGGTGAAATACTGAAAAGGAAATATGCAAATACACCAAGGCAGATTTTTTTTTTTTTTTAACTTAAAGCAGGACAGTGTCTTTGTAAAGTGGCGCGTTCAACAACAGTTGGTCGTTGTGATGTGGCACTTTTGGTAAAGTCAGTAGATGTAATGGTGGTACTTGACACTTTTTGTGTGCAGGTGCTGCAACTGTGACTTTGCCACCACCAACATGAACAGTTTGAAGAGTCACATGAGGAGGCACCCTCAGGAGCATCAGGCTGTGCAGTTCCTCGAGCAGTACAGGTGAGACCCAAGGCCCGCTGCCAGACTCTTCTCAAGCTCGAAGCCGGCGTATCACATCCACTTTTGCCGGCGGTCAGGTGCTCGCTTTGCGGCTACGTGTGCAGCCACCCGCCCTCCCTCAAGTCGCACATGTGGAAGCACGCCGGAGACCAGAACTACAACTACGAGCAGGTCAACAAGGCCATCAACGAGGCCATCTCGCAGAGCAGCCGGTAAGCACACAACGCAAGACTTACTCTTGCCAGTTAGTCGCGATCACAGCCAACTTGTAGCTTGGAAATAAAAAAAAAAAATACAAATGATGCACAAACGTGGCTGCAAGGTAACACGCTAGGTGAGCTTCACTTTGGTGAACCAAAGAAGCTTCAAACAAGCCAACCCGTAATCTATGAAAATGTGGCACTGTCAGTGTGAAGTAAAAATATTTTGACCGGCAAAGACATTCAAACGTACTCACAGACTAAATGCTACAAAAATAGCATTTTCCACTCGAACAATCGACAGTTGCACATTTGGTCATATGTGATATTTTCATGTATGATAACCAATCCGTTGCACAATATAAACAGAATGACTGGAAGTGATTAAAAAAAAAAAAAAAGACCACAGCACCAAATAAGCACATATTTTATGCAGCGGCCGTTTTTTTTTTTTTTTTTTAAATTTAATAGCTTTTTATATGAAAATGGCAAACAATGCAAACCTTTTTTTTTTTTGGGAGGCAACTTCCTTTCATTGTCACAGGACATGCTATTTTTGGTCTTGCAAGATAACTCAAAAACGTCTGGCATTGAATGATAACCTGGTACTCATGATAACCGCTAAACTCGCCTGATCGAAATAAACACAAGTCGAAAGAATCCACCGAACGTTTCGAAACGGGCCCATTTGTGAGCCTTCCGTATTCAATCAGAGCTCCTGTGTCGGCGCCGACGGGACCGGAATCTCTGACGGCGTGCTCGCAGGAGAACGCCAAAGTCCCCGCAGAACCACCTCTGGAACCTCCCTCCGCGCTCCCCAAATCCAGCCCGGACCCCTCGGCCCCGACCCCGCAAAGGAGCTCAGCGGTCCCGCCCCAGCCGCACGGTGGCGGCGTGGAGTACTGCATGCTGCTCTTCTGCTGCTGCATCTGCGGCCTGGAATCGACCAGTAAGGAGCGGCTGATGGAACACATGAAGGAGCACGAGGGTGACCTCATCAGCATCATACTCAACAGTAAGGACGCGCACAAACACGCGCAGGCAGGCGCGGCGAACCCCGAATGACCCCCAGGAATGACTAGAATATTTCACACGCTCACTTACCTCAGTGGTCACGCTTATCCTGTCACTCGTCTGTCAACCAGCTCCGCTGTCCTGTCAACAACAAAGGTTGCCGTTTTTATAGCAATAGTATGCCGTAGAATGCATGCTAGACCTCCGCCAAAGGCCAGCCAAGCACAATTTGGATCACATTCCATTTTTTTCTTAGATGACACACATTTATTTTTCTCATGTTTGTTTTTTTCCCTCATTTAAAATGGAGTGAAGTTTTAATTTCAACGAAGCTAACTCCTACGACGAAAACAAAGACAGTAGAACGAAGGACGGGCAGTGTATTCAGAAAATTGCGAAACGAGTCAGTGAAGTGAGCATGCATGAGAATTCTTGAATGGCGCCACATAGTTGATGCCGCTCGTTTGTCCTTTTTTGCTCCACGAAGTTCCGTCTTGTTTTTGTACACGCAATAGTCAGAAATTTTTTTTCCAAGAAAATCATTTTAAAAAAAAATACTGTTCCCTGTCCTCGAAAGTAGTGACACCTCCAAATGACAAATCTGACCACCACCTCCCCAAAATTGTCAAAATATTATTATTTTTTTTTCTTTAAAAAGGCTAATCTACTAATTTGTTTTATCGCTTCTTATCAAGAATGTCCTGGAAAAAACTGACCGCAATAACGTAACTACAGGCGGGATAATTGATCATTGATAGTTCATGAAATCGAATAATATTGCACGGCTATGACGTTTTCCTCAAAAAGTCTATTCTCAAAACTGCTTCCAAAGCCGCCAGTTCTCAAATGTGACTGATTTTGCCTTTTTTTTTCCACAATTCAAACGAAACTTCCTTGGCGGAGGTAACACAAAAAGGACACAAAATCTGTCTCCAGTGGTGTGGTGCTAGAGCGCTGGTCCAAGTTGATACCTCGTACAAACAAAAACCATGCTGGTGCAAGGCAGCTCGGGTTTTTTTTTTTTTTTTTTTAAATAGCTACTGTCATATTTAATGTTTATTTAATAAAATAATGTGTTGAAACTCGATCACGGCTTGAGTTCAGACGTATTTATCTGTTTGTGCGCATGTTTTTATCACGACACTTTGAAAAGAAAAAGTGGATTATTGATTGAATTTGTTCGCTGTATATGTTCAAAACATAAGTTTTGTTTTTGTGAGGAAGGGGGAAAAGGGACGAACAGAGGGAATCTGCTTTTTCATTTTCCCAGAATGGTGCCTAAAAAACATGTACAGTGTCAACTTCATTTTTTAAAACTATGTATGCATATATATTGCCCCAACATGTATGTTCTATTTTTGTATGTAATCTTTTTGTTCACTCTTTTAAAAGACTTTTTAGCTCCAAGGCAAAGAAAAAAACTGCTGTTCCCGCCAACACGAACACAGGTGACAATAAAATGTCAAGACGCAACATCACTGTGTGAATGTTTAACTTGAATGCAACACACATAAACATGACGTGATTTTTCATTTTATTTTATGTTGGCAATGTTTTTCTTGCTGTTGTGCGAATGATGACTTTGGGTGGACCGAGCACTTTTCAAACGCAATCAGGTCGAACGATTTTAACCACTTTGCATAGGTTATAGTTTATGTGCTTTATTTTGCTGCTCTTTGACATTCAGGTGATATTTTTTATTTTGTCAGTCATCTTTCATTCATACTCTTTGGTGCCACTGTGACACAAAATGGAATTTGCCCACTCCAGTTCTCTTAATTCAATATTTTGAGAAAACGGAAACTATGATTTTAATATTAATAGGTCGGAATTTGCCTCATTTGTTTGACCAGTCTATAGACAGAAATGTGTTTAACTTTTTTGATTTTTTTTTAAATCAAGCTACCAATATAACTTGACTTTAACCATATAACAATTGACTGAGCTTTACCTGTAGAAAACCTCGCTTCAGTCCCCTTCCTCGAAAGGACTTCCTTTGCACAAACCTTTTGTGCTTTTCAAAAAGGTACATGTAATCCCATTTTTCAAACATGACGTCTGTACAAGCGAGTGTGCTTTTCATGTCATTGCAGGATCACATTTTCCACGTAAACCTCTTAAGAGAATGTCAGCATGGAGATGACAAGGAGGAAATAACTGAAATGAGGCAAGATTACTGACTCAGCTCTCTTAAAGCAGCTTTTCGACTCTTTTACTTAATCCGCAAATTCTACTGCTCTGTGGATGCTAATTTGTCTGCAAGGAAGGAGAGCAATTGAAGCTAAAATGTCCCAAAACAAGTGACTGTAGCGGTAAATGTAAAATTTTCTTTTGACACCCATCTCCCAATCGCTCAGTAATTTAAGAATAAGAAAATCTTTATTCGTTTCACAATGGAGAAGTTCCCAATTTCCAGCAGCAATTTGGTTTATTTCCTGGTTGTGTCACTTGTCGCGGGGCTGAATTCATACTGCACCACAGTGAAGACTGGACAGGGAGATCTGACTGCAACAGACAGTGTACAGTGTATCACACACACACACACAACCTGATTCCATTATAGCGCTCTTGCCAGTCCATATAGATAGGTAGATAAATTGACAGATAGATATATAGATCGATCGATTGGCTGATTTGAGGTGTGAAAACTAGCACGTGGGGCTTTTTTTAATAGTTTTGAAAACCCACATTGTGACCGTGCACCGGATACAACCGTGACAATGGTGGACAACAAAATAACAAACGCTCGCATGTAAAAAGTCGTTGAAAAAGTCATGTACGCACTACGTATGACAGTATGGTAAGTTTTAATTCCTTTTAGGTGGAAGTCGTCGTCGTGATGTCAAGATGCGGATGCATTTACATGTTAGGAACACGGTTTCTTTTTTATTTTGAAGGGAAGGCCTGCCAAGTTCCGGCGTGGACACTCAATCGAACCCCGGGAGGCGAAAAGCCTGCGAAAGCAACGAATGTGTGTTTCTTAAAGCAGATGAGAGGGGAATGATGGAGCCGTGGAGCTAACCACGCCGGCAGAAAGGAGACGAGAGTCGCCGAAGTGGACGTTCTTCCGGTAGTGGTTGGGGCGCGTACGCTTGGTTTTCTCGGTACGTCTGTGTTTGCTTTTGCAACAATGCTCGCAAAAATAACAACAGTGTCGCTTTATGTAGTATAAAGCACATATGAGAATTTCGGCAAGTCTTGTGGATAAAAATATATTTAATGTTGACTTGATCTCGTCAACAGTCGCCCCCCCCCTTAATCATATCAAACAAACATCATCATCCCATCGATCAAAAGCCGATTGCAAAACAAACACAAGATGGCGTCGTTGCGTGTGTGTGTGTGTGTGTGTGTGTGTGTGTGTGTGTGTGTGTGTGTGTGTGTGTGTTTGTTTTGGGTTGGCCACGCAGGGGCGTGCATCATGGCAGCCCTGCGCCAGAGGAAGGGCAGCCGGGGCAAGTGCCCCCCCCAGAGCACCGCTGGAGTCCCTCTGCCTCCACAGCGCCTGCAGGCCAACTGTTGCTCCCTGCATCATCACCATGACGACCTTCTGCATGGTGAGTTTCAGGTCCATGCAGTCACACACATTCCTGTTAAATCACAAAAAGCCAAAGAAAAAGCCATTTTTTAAACCTGGCCCATGCATATTATTAAAACTTATGTAATACTGTGTTTGTCGCAACAGTTTAGCTGTTTATCTCTCCTAAAATTAGTCAATTTGCAGATACAATAAAAAATGTAGATTAAACAATTCATTTATACAGTACAATTCAAATATTAATTTATTAAATGTTGGGTTAATTTATTTTTTGTCAAAGTATTAGTACAATAATTTATTGATAAAGCATATTGATGCTTTCATTTATTATATTAATTGGTTGATCTATATTGCGATTGGATGTGAAGCAAAATAGTAACATGAACCAATTTATGTTCAGTTAAATTTTACATATGCAGTTCACTTATTTTTTTCATTCATTAATTGAATCATTGATCATTTTTATGTATATAATTAAATCATCGTATATTTTGCAGCTATGGAACAATGAACATTTTTCCTTCATTTTATGAAATAGTCATTTTATTGATTGTAGATTTAGTAGTAAGAATATTGAAAAAGACAAACATGACATGTCATTTTTTTTCCATTACTCTGTCATTTAATTAGTTTCTAAATGTTGAATTATTTTTCTAATATTTTAACCGTAATATTACAAATAATATACAGATTTTTCTGAACTATTTGCTTAATTATAATCAAATGAAGGCTAAAAAATACAGTTAAAGGATGAGAATGAATGATTTTATTCTTAACATTAGAGTAATCTGTTGGTGCCGTCTCTTGAGGCTTCCTCCTAATGTTGCTCATGCATGTTATGCGCAAGCACAGGTGATTGGTCGTGGGGGTCCATCGTGTGGACGTCGGTGGGCTGGTCGGTGTCGGTGGGCCTGGGCCTGCTGTGCTGCATGTACATGGCCACGCTGCACGAGAACGACCTGTGGTTTTCCAACATCAAGGTGACCTAGCAGCAACTCTTTCTGCTTGTTCTGTCGTGTACGGTGCTGGTTACGAGCGATAGCATCCATTCTATACAAATCAAAGTTACTGTATCATTATCATTGTTGCACGGATGGACTCAAATCAAGTCTCACCAATGAAATACAGTGAATCGGTTCCAGCCTCCCATGAAAAGACCAAAGAATTAGCTTTGTGTTTTTCTTAACAAGTAAAGTAGCACTCCGCACAAGTGTGCTTCATGAAAACATTCATGAATGACAATTGACTAGAATGTGATGAATTCAAACAATTTTTGTCACACATCACTTCAAGAGAAATCGTGCCGCTCCGTCTGGTGGGTGCGCCTTGGGGTATCGTATGATACAGACAAATGTGAATCTAGTACATGGAGATCCTCAGTAAGCTGCAATCATATTATTAATTTTTTGAGATGATAAGGGACGCCCCGGTGGCCGAGTGGTTAGCGTGTCGACCTCACAGTGCAGAGGTCATGAGTTCGATCCTGGCTCCGGGAGCCTTCCTGTTTGCATGTTCTCCCAGTGCCTGCGTGGGTTTTCTTCAGGTACTCCGCTTTCCTCCCACCTTCCAAAAACGTGCGTGGCAGGTTAATGGAACACTCGAAATGGTCCCGAGGTGTGATTGTGGGCGTGGATGACCTTTTGTCTGTGTGATGCGATGTGCTGGCGACCGGTTCAGGGTGCCCCCCACCTACTGCCCGAAGGCTCCAGCATGACCCGCGACCGTTGTGAGGAAAAAGCGGATCAGGAAATGGATGGATGGAGATGATAAGGCAAATAGACTGCGAATCTTGTCTTATTTTCTGCTTACATGGATTGCCGCACTGCTTGTGTTTGTGTTCAAGGGTTGGAACACTGCGATATCGATGCTATTCATTAGCCTGTATGGTATTTTGCATTTTGTTAGCTGATTTCAGTCAGACAAAGTTATGTCGTGTGTGGTAAATACACTCTTTGTATTATACTTAGTTTGATAGTAAACGTCAACTGGGAGTGGCATTAAACAGCTTTTCGCCTCTTTTTTGAAGAATTGTTCATTCTCTTCCAAACTGCCACTTTTCATTCATTATATCAGTGATCTCAAATAACTGGCGGGAGGAGAGATTGCATTCCGTATATTGCAGCTACATACATTGCTTTTTTTTCATGACTCTGTGGATTACATCTACTTGTGGGGTTCATTTTAGATTGTGCAAAGTGGCGGTAATCAGTAATTGACAAGAGGAGCCGTCCCATAACTCATGTGACACATACTGACTGAGAGCGCCATGGAATTGTTATTTTATTTTTACTTCATGGGTTCACTCCAACTCACGATCGTCATGATTAGCATTTCAAATCACTGCTATTGCATGCCTTTCGCATCAAAGCTTATGGCTACAGCTGACAGTTATCCAGTCGGACCCTGGCCATCTTTGCTTTGGCGCTCCAACTAATGGACACAACTGCTGTGGGTTAATTTTTCAGACAGTCTGTCAGACATTTGTTCATGTGTTCTGTACCTTCCCTGAGATCACGGCAGAGTGAACAAATCAACCCCCCCCCCCCAAAAAAAAAAAACAAACCCTAGTTTTGCAACAAATCCTTCAGTTTGTTGTTATGGCGCTGACATGTTGCCATGGCAACAGAGTGGACGGTGGGAGTTTGGGAATGACATCACCATTGGCAGTGCACACTGCACTGTTCTGCATGCGCACACATTGCAGACCGCCACCGTGTTCCTCCTTTCAGCACAGACCAAGTTGACAAGTTCCACCACAGCATCACATCCTTTAAAACATTGCGTGTCAACCTGTGCAGTCAATATTCTGTTAGTTTTCAACCTAAAAAAAAAAAAATCCTTTAAAACATTGCGCGTAAACTTGTCCAGTAAATCTTATGTAAGTTTTCAAGCTTTAAAAAAAAAAAAAAATCTCCACATGTTTTTGACATTTCGACTCACACCCTCATCATGGGACACAAAGTTTCTAAGCGGGATAACAAAGGCTGGAAAATCAATCCATTAATCTTAATTTTAGAGAGAAATATTTTTTCGTGACTCATTTCTACCTTTGTGGTAAAAAGTGTATGACGGGAAGTTTTAAACGTCCTTCGGGAAGGATAAATTCAAAGTGATGACCTTACCTGATGGTTTGCTTCCATCCAACACTGCATTGAGTCACAAAATGTTTCTAAATGTTGAGTTGGAGTTCTCGTTCTAGTTTTCGTGTGTGATCGAAGAGTGTTAGGCTAGAGCTCGGTTAGGCAATCAAAACAAATTTTTTGAATAAATGTTCAGATTGAAAGTTATTCAGGTTCAGTTTTAATCCAGGTTCATTGTTGGGGCTCGGTTTAGGGTAAGGCGAGTAGAAAGTTGGGCTCGCAGTCAAGGTCATGTTGAGCGTTGAGGAGTAAGGTTAGGCTCGGATAAAAGTTAGGGTTAAAATTTTCAGTCAAGTTGCAAAGTCAACTTCAGAAGATCTGAACGTGACCAAGCAAAGACCCAACTTGGCTTGTTATCCCAATGTTGCGGTTGCGTGGGTTTCCTCCGGGTGCTCGGGATTCTTCTGCGATCAAATGTATATATAACACGCTACGTGAGCTTCACTTGCAGCCAGTTTCCGTGATCAAAGTGCTGACATGTGGTCAAGATTTGAGCTCCCCCTTTTTTGTCTTGAAAGAGTTTCGACTCGCTTGTGTGTTAACTATCACAGAAATATCAATAATTGTGAAAACACACAACAAATTCCTTGTCTGTTCCACATACTTGGCCAATAAAGATGATTCTGATTCTGATTAAAACAAAGACAAATGAACATTGTACCATATATTTAAACGCCGACACCAGGGATGACCGATGGCACTTTTTTTCTTTTTAATTCACTTTTTTAAATTTATTTTCTTCTTTTAAATTTATTCACTTTTTGATCACTCACCAATACCAAGTATCGATACCTCTAGTACATTTGATATATCACACGTCATTTAACACAATGGTACAAAATTGGGAACAAAGACGTTTCTTTTTGACACAGGTGACGATTTGCATCGATTTCAAACTGTTGCAGTGATAGTGGTGACGACTACCTAAGAGGACTTAGTTAATGTGCAATTTTATTTATTTGATTTTGTTTTTTGCTATTTAATATCGGTGGCTGATATCGACAGCCTGTACGAGGACCCGATTACCAAAATGGTCAAACAAACCACATCATTTCATTGAACAAAAGTCTGCTAGCTATTGGTATGATTTTGGTACAGTATCAAAGTATACGTTTTGGTGACAATGTTTGGAACGGTTTGATGAGAATAATCACAAATCTGCAGAAAAACATAGCACTCACCCAATTAAATTAGCACTGCAGGTAATTCAGGCTGGCTTCCACTGTGCGCTGGGGTGAGTCATGTGTACGGCGCCGGGCTTGCATTGGTCAGGTGTGAAGTCATCTCCACGTGGTCGCAACAAGGAGCTAATTTCAGACACAGATGGAGTAGGCTGACATTCCCAAACACCCCCCCCACCCCCCACTACTCCCTCCTCCCTCCTATGTCTCGTCCTATTCTTATAAAAGGTCAGCCACAGTCCACTAGCTTCCCACTTTTTCATCCTCATCCTGCCTTTCGACGAGGAAGCTGGAGGACGTTCAAGTTCCAGGGCCAACCAGGCTGGTTGAGATCGAAGCCCTTCTGCCGCTTTTTTTTTTTTTTTTTTTTTTTGAAGATGAGTAAGAAGAACTGTAGGATCGTAAAGGAGCCGCTCATTTCCTTGGAGAAGGCCATGGCACGTTTTCGCTGCCAAGAAAGCTAAATGATTTGATACCACTTTGATGATGCCGCGGCTGCAACTCTTTAGTTCTGGCCAGATGTTTTGGGGTTTTTTCTTTTGATCATTTCGCCCTGGTGATGGAGCTCCGCAAACGGCGACGAGGTACGACCAGGTCCACCCAGGATGAAGAAGAAGAGGAGGAGGAGGAGGAGGGAGGCTCTGGATCCGGCTCGCAAGCCCCGTGGTGGAGTTGGCAGTGGACTGTTGCCACGGTGACAGGGCTGGCGACGGCCGGCCTGCTGGCTTTGACGCAGGCCTGCTGTGTCAACACCTTGCATGAGAACTTGCTGTGGTTCCAGCAGCTCACGGTAGCGCCTCACAATCCTTCGAATAACCTGCAACAACCACAAATAGAACACCATCAAACTGTGTGTGAGACTGTTTTTTTTTTTTTTAAATGTAAAATTGATTTTCTTTAGTGTCACCTTTTTTTCAGGAATATGAATGAGTACTAATTTTCTTTTAAAGCTTGAATTCTTCACTTTTTTTTAATTATTGAAAATGAGACGATAAAAAATATTTTTAAAAATCTGGAAAATGTACTTTTTTTTCTAAATATCTGTAATGTATAACTTTGCTCAAATCATTTTTTTGAATATGGAAAATGTATGAATCGTTGAACGTTAAAAAAATGTTAGACTTTCTAGGATGTATGACTTTGCTCAAAAATACAAAAGAATAAAAAAATGTGAATTTTTCTTTTGAGTACAAAAAGAAGTGTTTAAAAATGTATGCCTTTTTTTGTCAAAAGTACAGAATGTAAAAACAGCTTTATCTCAATTAAAGACGTAATGCATAGCCGACATAAGCTACGATAAGTATGTTGATGCTAGATATCTTCTTTTGGAATAAGTGTAAAGTAAAGCAACTCATAAATGCTCAACCAACTGAAGACCTGTGATAAATCCCCGGGACATTTCAAACAAACATTTTTGTTGCAGGAGGTGGAGCGTGAGATCTCCTTCCGGACGGAATGTGGGCTTTACTACTCATACTACAAGCAAATGTTGAATGCTCCGTCCATAAAGGAAGGTACGGCTAAAATAAGAAATCTGTGCTCCAATGCTAATATTGGCAACCAGTCTGAAAGTTTTTGGCCTCAATTTATAATCGAGGCTCTGATTTTCCTTCTTTTACAGTAAAAACAAATGCATCACAAACAAAATAAGTGAGAATAAGATGAATTAGCAGTAGCGAGGTTACCGTGTGACTGATGATTTCCTGTGAGGATGCGAACTGAACACTGTTTGTTTCAATCTTGATTTATGACTGAATAAGTGTTGTTAGTAAATATCCAGAAATTGTATCATCACATTACATCTTCATTTACCTGGTTGCTAACACGTTAACTTGAGGCTAACGCTAGCAGATGTTTACGGCCTTAAGTAGGCGAAAATCCTGAAAAAGTCAACTGAAAAGCAAGTTGACTTATTGTTGTTCTTACATTTTTAGCTTGTTAACGGGACATGTTAGCGTTAGCTTTGCTCCGCCGCGCTCTCCATTTTCCGACCCAAAGTGAAGTTTATTACTAATGATGCACGTGGGTAAAACGACTCCTCATCATCGTCATCAAAATTCCTTGTTTGCCACAATTTTCCGCTACACGGTCTAATCGACCGACTCGAAGCCCAGAGAAGAATTAAGTCACTGGAAGAAGGGAGGACGTGTTCGGCTAATGAAGGAATATTTTGAGAACGAAGGAGCGATAAAATGAAGTGTGTGGGTGGAAATGCGGACGCCGTTTATGGAAAGTAGGGTCGGTTGCTGCGGTGGATCACGCAGTCGTTGACATCGGGATGACGTCTGCGGCCCAAAGTCGGAGGAATGTCGCACGTTTGGCAGCAGACTCTCCGAATCTCAGCAAACATGTTGTAATCATTTCCAGGCCTCCAGGCCTGTTTGGAAGAATCATTACGGGTCATTGGGCCGGAGTTGATTGTAGTGGAAGATTACTGGAACTACTGTGGCGCTCTCTTGTTGCAAGTACCGTCTACAGAGATTTGAAGAAAATGGCGGAATTGAACCACAAATGGCCTTTTTAAAGCAACATGGCAGACAGACTGTCTTTTCGAGCATGTTTTTTTTTTTTTTTTTTATTTTTATTAAATGGGTTTGTCTGAACAAACTGACTTGCCGAGCAACTTTCGTGTTGCTAAGTGAAACTGTCTTTTGGTTCTGGATTTAAAAAAAAAAAAAAAAGGTCTGGATTCTCGAAAATAGATCCTAAAATGACCAGTAAACAAAAAATGGTCAACTGTGTGTGTCTTTTCAAGCAGTGTTTCTGAAGACTTTTTTGTGGGTCTCTGTATGATAGGTAGCCTATGTCCACCAAATTTCATGTTGGTAAGGGTAGGCCGTCATTTATTCCAGAATGGCCACTTTGAACCAAAATGGCGGTCTGACTGTATCTTTTCAGGCATTGCTTCTTGAGACTTTTTCATGCGTCTCCTCATGACAGACATGTCTATCAATTTTCATTTTGCTCAGTGAAACTGGCTTCAGGTATCGAATGTTTAAAACCCTACTTCCTGCGGTCCCCGCTATATGTAAATTTGGAGTATGGGTATACATGGTTCCAATTTCGGTACTAAGCAGACCACCAAATATTCTCTTTTGAATTCCATCGATCTGTTTTTTTGTGTGTTCTGGCGGGGAGTTTAGGATTGTCAGAGTTGATCCACGACAACTTGACAGAGTCCAAGAGGACCATCAACCTCCTGCAAAGGATGAACATTTACCAGGAGGTCCTTCTCAGTATTCTCTATAGGCTGCTGCCCATACAGGTAACAGACTCACGTACATTTTTGAGATCAAAAAAAAAAAAAACAGTGGTCAAAAATTGAGTAAAAATGGTGAACCCCCCACCTCAAAAAAAAGAGTGAACATGTGTCCAAAGTACCAGTGAAAATTGTTGGCAGTGACTGTGTGATCATTTTAAGTACATTTGGTGGGGTTCCAGTTGTAGATGTCAAAAAGTACCTAGAATTTCCGATTTTAATTTTTTTCTTTCCAAAGTGAACCTTTTACATTTGATGATAATTGTGAGAACTTTGGTCGAATCATGTCACTTGAAATGTGTGCTAATTTGGCTCATGATGACTGCACTAATGTCACTCGTGAAAATGTTTTTTGTGAACACTTTGGTCATGATAATCGTGACATTTTGTTCATTGAATTGTGATCATTTCAATCATGATGATTTTGACAGTTCTGTTCATGATATTCATGGCAATTTTCATCACCATCACTGATAGCGCCGATCAGGCTGACGATTTTGGTGCGTGTTTTGCAGTCCTACCTGGAGCCCATGTACTTCTACATCTACAGCGTGTTCTCGCTGCAGGCGGTGTACGTGATGGCGCTGTACCTGACGGCGTGGCTCCTGGGCGGCTCGTGGATGGCGGGCGTCTTGGCCGCCATCTGGTACATCCTGAACAGGTGGGCGGAGACAACATGTCCCGCTAAGCTAGCGTAGCGTACCAACCTCTGAGCAAAAATTCAAGATGTCTCGGAGCTACCCCGCCTGCTGTCAGTTGCAATCAATGCAATGCTAATGTCAGTCTCTTAGCCACGGTAGTTAAACCAATTTGCTAGCGCCACGATAAGTAGACCTCATGTGAGCAGCATAGTATCAGCACTTTGGTGAACCAGCTAACAACGGCGTATTATTGTTTGAACGTTAGTGGAAGTGCAATCCTTTATATTTCTTATTTTTGAGATCATGTCGAGATGCTCACAATAACGATGATGAATTCTGAATCCGTTTGCAGGGTGGACACAACTCGCGTGGAGTTCACCATCTCGCTGAGGGAGAACTGGTCTTTGCCCTTCTTGGCGCTGCAGGTTGCCGCCATCACATGTTACCTGAGGCCTCAGCTGGGCGCCTCGCAGCAGGTGCGTGCATGCAAACACCACTGAGCTGTTAGCTGCCTTAGCATCCAGCCTTTGTTGTGTGTTTTTCTTCCACTCGGCAGAAGGTGATGGTGTGGTTGATGTACGTGTGCAGCTTGTGCTTCTGCGTGACGTGGCAGTTCAACCAGTTCATCTTTCTGGTTCAAGCCTTTGTCATCTACACGCTGGACTGTGTGGACATGCTCACCGCTGCACAGGTTGGAACAACGGGACTCAACAGCATTTTTTTATTTTATTTATTTTAAGCCCCACCCATAGAGCCACAGAATGCAATGTTAGACGCCACTCATTTTTCCCTTCTCTTCATCGGAAAGGAGGCTACTTGCTTACACACCAGCTAAGAACCAATAATGTTGTTTCATAAGTGTTTTTTTTTTGTTTGTTCTGTTTCACACTTCTCTTTCCACTCCAAAGTAAACTGTTTGAAATGAACCAATATGTTACTCCCTGAATTCAAGCAAATGGTTTATAAAATCTCACAACGGTATAAAAAGAATAAAAACAATGGGTAAATAATGACTAAATGTTGGAAATTGTCATCGCCCGCTCCCACCCCCAAATAGTGCAAATTGACAAGAAATCTGGGAAACTGGTCTACAAAGAATGAGTACAGTAAGAATGGTCCGAAATGTAAAGTCAGTGAAAGTGAGGAGAAGAAAGACAAATGTCAGAAAATTAGGTCAAGAAAAAAATAAGTGCAAATTCACAAGAAATCTGAACCTGAAAATACATAGGATGAGTTTTACGAGTAAAAATTTAGTTCAAAAAATGGACAAAAAAAGAATAACATTACAATAGAAATGGTCTTAAATGAATATATTGGGTTAAAAAAAACTGCGAAAAATTATCCCAAAACCCCAAATTCTTTAAAATCATCAAAAATGTAGTCTAAATCTACGGCCATGGTCAAGAAAATATTGAAACCCTGCACCATAGCACACTCTAATTACGACATGGCTGTTAGCTGCCCTCTTGTGACTGCAAGGTGCCGTTTTCCCAGGCCTTTGTGAAGTTCTGCTGTCTGAGTTTTTTTTCTTGTTTTTTTTTTTTTTTTGTCTCCGTCCCTCGCAGGTGAACACGTTGTACTTGGTCCAAGCGAGCGCTCTGCTCAGCGTGTGGCTGCTGCAGTTCTTCAACGCCATGATCCTGGGCTCCTTGGTGCTCAGCTTCATCGTGGCGGCCCTCCTCGTGCGTCACTTCCACGTGCGTACGCCCGCGCAAACGCGCACACACGTGGCGCGAGACGGGCGCGCCTGGCTTTGTTTAAGCCGCTGATAATTCCACTTTGTGAGCTGAGACATATTTCCCTGTCAAGTCTTAATGTAATTTTTTCCAATCTGATCTTATCACGGCGACAATTACAAAGATATTTGGCGTGACAGCAAGACGGAGCAAGACTCTAAATCATTTATGTATGTCTGCTAAGTTACTGGTTGAAAATAGGCTGCTTTTAATATGTACGTCGCAACGGGGGCATGGGGGAGGGTGCATAAAGCAGTATGAGTCATTCCTCTGGTTCCCAGATGCTGTTCATTTAGATTCTCCCAGAGGAAAGCCTTAAGTCTACTAAGACAAAATGACAGCAAATACTTAAGTCCCCCGTTCGGAGGTCTTAAAATGCCACAATGCCCAATTGTGAAGAAAAAGAACAATCACAATCAAGATGAGGTGCATTTTGCTCATTTGCATCAACTCTGTTGCCCAAATGATGAAATTACATTTTGGAAGGCGTATTATTTGCACATCTTTGTCGCTACAGTTCTTTCTCTAAATGAGTGAAAATTCTCAATTTTTTTTTCTTTTTTGCTCCTGCAGCATTCTTTGAAGACAGGAAGTTTTGTAGCGCGGGTGTCCCGGCTGATTATCCACAGCACTGCCGTCCTCTTGCTCACCTTCGCCATCAATTTCCTTGCCAAGGTTGTCCTTCCTCATTTCTTTCACTTCCTTTCGATTCATCCTCACAGTCATTGTTAAGATGAATGTCTTTTTACACTTGTTTGAGTTGTCCAAACATTTAAAAAAACAGGGTACGCTTCTTCAAAAATGTTTGCAAATGTTCAAAAAGTGGAAGGAGTACAAAAAAATGATTGGAAAGCAAAGAAAAGTTGTAAAGGTTGGCAAAAGATGGCAAAAAAAAGAGGGAATATTTGTTATTGTCAAATTGGAAATTGTTGAGCAAAAAATTGTCACGCATGAGTAAAAAAATGTGTCAATATTTAATAAAATTAGTGATTCAAACAAACAAACAATTGAAACTAGTCTAAAATGACTGCAATTTTGCATCACGTCACATACTGACCTCTGGTAGTTTAGTGTCGTGTTTTTGCCGTTGTGCTTTTTTTTTGAGACACAGTTATTTGATTTTTGATTTGCCGTTGTGGTTAGTGACTTGTTTTTGTGCTTTTGAATTTAGTTTCTTATATTTGTGTTTTGATTTCCTCTTGTCGTTGGATTTTTTTCTGGTTTTGGTTCGTGGTTTGTTTTGTGTTGTTGGATTTGCTGTTGTGTTTAGTTGTTTGTTTTCTTAAGTTATGCTGTTTATTTAATGTCGTTTAGTTTTTGTGTGTTTTGCTGTAGCTTTTCGATATTTTGGATCTCCTCTCTAACGTCTGATCCTCTTTTTAATGGAGTGAAGACACACGGCGGCGGCCACGATTCACGTGACGCATGTGCTTTGGATGCCGGCGTGTCCTTCCCGAACTTATCTCGGTTTGTGTTTGCAGAAGGCGCTGCGGCTGCGATCAGACGAGCACATCTTTAAATTCATCAAGTCAAAGTTTGCCTGGGGGCCGACGAGGTAGGAACGGCGAACGCCACTCGCGCTCGCGTCTCGGCGCCCGTTTCGTCTCGTGCGCCGGCGTGCGTTTTTATTCCTCCGACGCTGCGGCACCTGCGCACGTGAATAATAGATGACGGTTGACACCATCGATTAGACGCCGCTCGGTGCCGCGTCTCCGGCAAGATAACGCCAGCTTGCCACACGCGAGCGGCCCTTCAATTATTCAGCAGCCGGCGCGCAATGCGGCGTTTGTTGTGTGACTCACACCCGCGGAGGATTTCTTTGCCGCTTTTTGCCGGCTCTGGTTTTCACTCTGAACGACGCAAAAAAAAAAAAAGACGCGGCCAGGAAAAATTCATGCGTGACAATGGTAAAAAAAAAACAAAAAAAAAAAACAAATACAAATTGGTCCGAACATGTGTGAAAAGCACCCAAAAAACATTTCAAGAAAAAAAGTTCAATTATCGGGAAATGACATGATTTGACTTTGTAGAATTTACTGTGTCAAAAATGTTCCAGAAAAAGAGTGGCAAAGTGAAAGTGATTTCACACATTGGTTATCACCTTAATCGCTATTTATTTTGGAGAATCAATGAACATGTTTAGAGAGCTTGTTTCTATTTAAAATGGTCTAAATCTTGATTTCTGCAGTCTTCCATAAAAGCGGACTTATTATTGAAGCGTTGAATCAAAATAAAACCTCTGCTTTCACCTTGGAAAACCACCATCACATTGTTGCAATCAAATCTTGTGATTTCTGGATTGTCCATTTGGAATGTCTTGTTTTTTAATGAAAGGATAAAACCTGATATACATCAATTTTTTTTTTTTTATTGCATCGAGTACTTGGCAAACTAATCGACAGATTCAACGATGATGCAATTCATCGTTAGTTGCGGCCCGAGGAAATTGTGGTTGGCGCCATTGCGATATGTCAAACGTATTCTTCGTCAAAAATGACTGAAAATGGTCAAAATGAGTGCAAATGACATTTTGCCAACGGACAAGTGAAAATGGTGTCCAATGTGGGAAAAATCAAAACCAAAAAGACGCACTTGTTGAGTTCCGCGGCTCACGAACGTGCCGTTGTTGACTGCCGCTTGTCCTCCTCCAGGGACTTTGACGCCAACCTGTATCTATGCGAGGAAGCCTTCGGTGCGTTGCCACTGGACACTCTGGAGCGTCTGTCCGCCACCCTTGTGCTGGGCCCCTACGCCCTCACGCTCACGCTGATGGGCGGCGCCCTGGCGCTGGCTGCTCTGCGCAACCTCAGGTGGGTGTACCCCAAGGAACTGGACCTGAGCCCCCTGCATATGGACCGAGCTTGAGTGACTGATGTTCAACTTTGCATTGCTGTCCGCTGACTGTGTGAATCGATCGATGCAAGAACCTTGAATACGCCGCCTGTTCGTCGTGGTGACGGATGGGGAACGTTGACGCAAAAACTCAATCGCAGCTTTTCAATGGTTGTCGCGTGTATTGACCGCTGGACAGCGATAAATAGCTGTCCACTGTAGTGACTGATGCCCAACTTCAACTCCCTCTCCTGTAGTCACTGATGCCAAAAATTGACACCGTCCGTCCACTTCAGTGATGCACAACCGTGAATCGCCGTCCTCTGTAGTGACTGACGGACAACCTCCTGTAGTCACTGATGCCAAAAATTGACACCGTCCACTTCAGTGATGCACAACTGTGAATAGCCGTCCTCTGTAGTGACTGACGGACAACTAGGTGGGTGTACCCCAAGGAACTGGACCTGAGCCCCCTGCATATGGACCGAGCTTGAGTGACTGATGTTCAACTTTGCATTGCTGTCCGCTGACTGTGTGAATCGATCGATGCAAGAACCTTGAATATGCCGCCTGTTCGCCGTGGTGACGGATGGGGAACGTTGACGCAAAAACTCAATCGCAGCTTTTCAATGGTTGTCGCGTGTATTGACCGCTGGACAGCGATAAATAGCTGTCCACTGTAGTGACTGATGCCCAACTTCAACTCTCTCTCCTGTAGTCACTGATGCCAAAAATTGACACCGTCCGTCCACTTCAGTGATGCACAACCGTGAATCGCCGTCCTCTGTAGTGACTGACGGACAACCTTGACACTCTCATCTGTGGTGACTGATGCACACATTTGACGCTGTCCACTTTAGTGACTGATGCCATTTTGCAGAACCATCCACTTCAGTGACCAATGATGACAACTCTTTTGACACTCTCGCATGCACAAATTGAACATCAAGAGTCACTCCTATAAAAAAGCTTTTAATATGGTCACCGATAAACAGCATCCAAATGTCCCGCATTCGAGAGGCCCTCCCGCCTGCAAGGAGAGTGAAAGAGTTTCGTGACGTTTGGGCTCCATGCTCCAAAAAGCCCTATTTTGAATTCCCGCATCTTCCATCAAAGCGCTCTGATTAGCATGAGGGCTCGCCGCGTGAATGCCAACCCGCCGGAACAAAAAGGGCGCTCGGCCATTCCGGAAGGAATCCAGACGCTTTGCCGCCCGGGCGCGGACAAAGACACAAAGAGTCACCTCGGCATCCATCTGACGCGATGACATCACTTCCTGCTGCGCCCATTTAAGATGCTCGGTGGGTCATAGCCAATGAGAAGTGAATCATCCCATCGGAATCGTATCAATTGCAGCCACCTTCCATTCTGCCTGAAGCGGTACGCTTGGAATATTGCCGTGCGGTGACTTTCTGGCTTTTTCTTGCCTGTCGTGTCCCCGCTTGCCCCCCGCAGGACGAAGGGTGGCGGCGCGGAGAGGAAAGCGGAGGGTCCGGTGGTGGCGTCCTTCCGTCCGGACGTGGCCTACAACCTGCTGCACACGCTCTTCTACGGCCTGCTGGCCTTCAGCACCATGAGGTGACCACACCTCTCCTTTCACGCGCAGACACTTGTGTACAGTTACCTCAAATACACACGTGCTATTGCCGCTGGTGGCTGAAATTCTAAACACCATTTTTAGTCTTACTCGGATTATAATGCTTGTTTACAGCTACTAGGATCGCTCGATGTTGCCGCTCGATTTTCATTTTTGCCATTGGGCGTGCTATGATGAAGCGCAAACTGCGCTGCCAAATGGCTTTGACACATCCAAATGTTCAGTTGCTCGGATCCAAAACATCCAGTTGCTTCCACTGTCTCGGATTCGGGGCTCGGCCTCTTTTTCTTCCTTTGAAATATGCCGCCCGGTCATCGTCATGGCAACAGCGGCAACATCGCCTCTCTTTCAAGAAAGCATTGTCATTTCACGATGCAGATGGCGTCTCTCAATGAAAGGATGGAAACGTGTGTACGTCGGCGCTCCTCTGCCAAGTGGTGATCGCGGCGAACTTTGCCGCCGCGCTTTGTGAAGAGCGACAAGAGGAAGACGGGAGAAGTTTATAATTGGAGTCGTGACTTCTTGGCTTTCACTTTGTGGGGAATTCATTTCCAGAACCCTGCGGTTATTTACAAGGCGAAACTTTTGCCGCAGTGTCGGTCGTCGTCGAAAGACGAAGCGCGTTCTCCGCTGGGCGGCTCAAATGATTCCCAATCGGGGTTTCAGCCGGTTCAAGACAATCTCGGGGGTTTCCAATGAGGGTTTCGAGCGCCTTGGGCTTTCACATTCCAGTTTCAGTCTTGGGTTAAGGTTTCGTGTTGGCCTTGGGTGTTGAAGCCAGCGTTCGGGTTTCAAACCAGGGTTCGGCGCCGAGACAAAGAATCGGGGTGCAAGCCAGGCTGGAGGTTTCAGATTAGGCCTTCTCATCAGCGTTCGGGTTTCAAAGGAGCCATGGTTAGTTTTTCCAACCCGGGTTTCCTCAAAGGGTTGTGCTTTCAAAAAAAGGAGCATCTCAAATTACAGTTTGACACCTGAGCGCTTTAGGATTTTAAACGAGGGCTTGGAGACTGGGTCGGGGTTTCCAATCCGGGTTGGGGTTTCAAATGAGCGATCGGAGTTGCCTTTGGGTTTCAGGAGACGCTTTCAAGGCAGGCTTGCGGGGCGAAGCGTTTTACAGGAAGCGTTCACAATTTCAATTTAGCCTTTCAAAATGAGGGATTAGGATTAGAGAGTCAGTGTTGGAAGGCGGGATTTGAATTGAATAGAAAAGATTTTTCATGGGGAAGTTTAGCTCACACTAAACAGTCTTGGACTGGACATAAAAGAGGAGGCGGTACAAAGTCGCGTGCGCGTGCGCGCGCATTAAACAGCAGCAGTCAGGCTGCACGTGAGCCGACAAATTGGATTCCTTTGGCTTGCTCTAAAGTGCTGATGAAGAGCAGGAGGCCAAAAGTGCAGGCAGACGTCGTTTCTTCTTTGCTTCTTTTTTTTTTTTTTGCTTCCTTTCGCCTCTGTGTGTTGGAAAAGTTTCTTTTTCCACAAGCTTTCACTTACTTTGTGCGCCTCCTCCTCGTTTCTCATTTCCGCGGAGCAGGATGAAGTACATCTGGACGGGACATATGTGTGCCGTGGCGGCGTACGGCGTGTGCGGCGGCGACGTGTGGGCGATGCTCCTTCACGCGCTCCGATGCAACGCCAAAGTCTTGGTGAGTTCGCCACAAGCCTCAAATGCACACTGGAAGAACTGAACTTTGAGTGGAGGTGAAGCCGAGGCACTCCCACTCACGGGAACTTCAATGCGACCCCTCCGCTCTGAACGCAGCCATGTCCTTTTGAGGGTGTGCACACTTCTGCAACCTTTTATGGAACCCCTCGAAAACATTTTCGAAATTCAATGAACGGTCCCATTTGTTTTGCATCTGAACACGACTAAGTAGACTTGTTACAACCTCTGGATGAAATGGACAACACTGAAGTAAGAATGAGTACATATTGCTGTTTCAAACTACTCCGGTCATTCGAGTTTCCAGACAGAGTTTGAGTTTCAAATGAGGGTTTTAAAACAGTTCGCTTTTCAAAGTTGGGCCACACGCGTGAGTTAGTGTCATGCACTTGACTTTGGAGTCAGCCAATCCTCCACGAAGCGTCTCCAGCTGGTCCAGAATGCTGCTGCTCGTCTCTTGACGGCTACCCGTAAGAGGGAGCACATCACTCCTACGCTGACATCCCGAGATATTTTCGAGTTCTTTTGAAGATCCTCTAATATGTTTTCAAATCTTGAAATGGCCTCGCCCCACCTTACCTCCCTGCCCGGTGCCTCAGGTCGGCGGACCGGACACTATAAGAGGCTTCCAGTGGATGAGGCCTTCTTCCGTCTGCGCTCCCTCTCTTTGGAACCGACGTTGGGCGAGCCCCCTCGCTGCCCATCTTTCATAGTCGGCATTTTTATTCTTTAGCCTTTGACTCGGCATGAGACTTGATTTTCTGTTTGACTGTGTTTGTGCTTTCTCCTGTCTCCGTTAGTCATTGATTTTCTTGTTTGTTGTATGATTTAAAACATTTTTTTTTGCTCCATCTACAGCACTTTGGATACAGCGGTGGTTGTTTTCAAGTGCTCCAGAAATACAGTTGGGCTGAATTTCAACCCTGGAGTAGGGTCTTCAAAACTGAGTTAGGATTTCCAATTCGGGTTTCAAGAGTCCTGGAATGCAACTTTTTCCAGACAATTTTGGGGCGGCGGACGTGAATCTATTTTGAATGGACTCAGTGAGGGCATTTTGCAGCCACGCGGTGGGACCCCATCAGTCCACGTGGCAAGTGGCGTGTGGCTTCTCAAGGGTGGCCACCAGGGGTCAGTGTGGCTCTGACGGTTCCTTCATTGAACTGAATCACTCCTCTTTGCTGTCTCTTCTCATCCGCCAGCTCAAGTTGGTCCGATACGCTGCGCCCGTCGCTGTCGTTGCCTTCCTCTATTATAAGGTAGGACCTTCCGGCGCCTGCTACACCAACACGAGCGATCCCGCGGGGTGCTTTCAGCACGGTGTGTTTTATCCATCCATTCATACAAATGTCATAATGAACATTGTTGATTTATTTGATTGTTTGGTTTTGGAACCGTGCAGGATGTCCCGAAAGGTTTGTGGCCTTTGCCGTGAACCCAAAGTCATTCACTCGTACTGTATCAGTCGTCTGTTTTTTTTCTGTGGAACCCACGACTCTGCAGTTTATTTTCCAAAAAGGTGTTGCAACTTTGCGCCTCGATTTCCATTTTAAAATATTTTGTTTTTGTATATAATGCTAATGACAAAAAATCTGGACATGTTTAAGAAAAAAAAATGTATTGTCCACTTTATTTGTTTGACGTTAATTTTCAAATTCACAATTGATTTCTACTTAATTTGCAATTTTATTCAGCATTGCAGTTTTTTCTTTTCGATTTTTGTTTTTTTTTTCCCCCTTATGTGTTTTACAATTTTTTTTTTTTCTCCCTCCACGCATTTACTTGTAGTTTCGGTGCCACTTAGCCGCAATGACTCATTTGGCATGATGACACCCTTTTCATCGTTGCCTGCAGTTCTGGCCCAAGATGGTGGAGGAGCTGTCTGACTTGAGGGAGTTCTATGATCCAGACACTGTGGAGCTCATGACCTGGATTAGGTATACACACACACACACACACACACACACACAGATCATCATCTCCTACATCAAAGGCAAATCTTATTAGTTTCCACACTTTGTTTGATGTCTTTGATTAGGACGTGTGTGTGCATTGTGCGTCTGTGTGTGTGTGTGTGTGTGCGTGTGTGTGTGTGTGTGTGTGTGTGTGTGTGTGTGTGTGTGTGTGTGTGTGTTGGGGGGTGGCGTGGGTGAGTGTGGCCCCTGACTGATGAGAGCCCAAGGGTCTTGATGAATAAGAAATGGGGAGTTGTTGGAAGAGGCCCATCTTCTGGCACAGCTCGGGCAGACGGCAGTGACAGTCACCCCCTCCGCCCTCCCCCGTCCCCCACGAGGGCCTCCGTGGCCGGGTTGCTGATCAAGAGCGTCGGCCTACTGGGATGTGGGCCTTGGCATTCTGGCTGTGTCTGCTGTGCGCTTGACTTCATTTCCAGCGGTCGTCCTGTTCTTCAAGTGCAGACTTGACACTTAATTGGTCTGAGGCACTGTTGACGCACTGCTGTTTTGGTTAGCAACAGCGTTGGATCGCTGCTCACGCAGTCGTTACGCTTCAGTCTGTGTGTAATGTGTAGGTTGGAAAGCTCAGGAGCGGTAAAAGTAGGGTTGCATGACAGTGGCAGGGTTTTAAACTAGGCTTTCAAGTAGTCTGGTTTCAATTTGTCAGATTGTCATCGTGGTCTCAATTTTGCCTGCTACGATTAACTTGAGCGCTGCCAGCCCAGTGACGTTGCACACACGCAAACAACCAAGGTGAATTGATCTTACTTTTAATGTATTGCTCAGTATGGTTAGGGTTTCAAAGTAGGGTTTCAAACCACATTGTGGTTTACAAAGTAGGTTTTGGGTTTCAACGAAGCGTTTCGGACTGGGATTAGAGTTTCCAATTAGGTTTCAACCTTGGTTTAGAGTTTCAAAGTAGGGTTTTAAACTAAGCATTAGGGTTTCAATCTTGGGTATGGGTTTCTAATCAGGGTGTAATTAGGGCTAGGGTTTCAAACTAGGTCAAGCGTTACAAAGTAGGGTTTCAAACAAAGGTTTGAGTTTCCATTTAGGGTTTCAAATTAGGGTTAGGGCTTCAAAGTAGGGTTTCAAACTAGCATTAGCGTTTCAAATGATGGTTCGCAAGCCTGGATTTGGGTTTTATTATATTAGGCTTTGAAGTTAGAATGAGTACTTCAAATAAAGGTTGTAAAGACAGAATTGGTGTTTGTAAGTAAGATTTCTAGATCGGGATTACTACTTTGTCAGGATTGAGTTTGGGTTTTAAGGTAGGGGTGCATGTCAGGTTATCAAGGTTTGAAGACGTCGGGATTTCAAATTAGGGTGTCAAGAGCGAGTTCGGCTTTCACAGCAGGGGTTTCCGAGGAGTGTTTCTGGCCTCCCTTGTAGGTACTGCTGTTTTTATCAACAGATCTCAAATGGTCCCAGCTGTTTTTATATTTCATGTTTGCTTTTGATCCATTTGGGTATCTGAGAGTTATTACATTGTTATTACACTGTTATTACAATGCTTGAACACTGTCATCACACTGATTGTCATGATTACTGCAGCTCCTTCACGCTATAATGCTTTGTGTGTGTGCGTGTGTATGTGCGTGTGTGTACGAGAGCGTGCGCGGGTGCCACGGGTTCCCTTGCCTCAGGAGCTAATCCCATTAGACTGTCGGGATGATATGGGCTGTGCGGGATGACTCGGGGGGTGGGGGGGGGGGGCGGCGAAGCTGAGCCTGGCCTCGGCGCTAATTACATTCCGGATGAAAGCGTTACGGTGGCAAAGGAGGCTCGTATTATGGCCGCCGCGTCTAAGCCGAGCAGGGTTATTAGCTTCCGCGTGAGCAAATCACGCCGGCTTCAAGCTGCGGCGCCTAACAAGCTGCGCAATGAAAGATGCATGCCTTCCAGTGGATGTTTTCGGAATTTGGGAAAATGCGCATTGGATGGAACTCATTATTTGGCGGCGGCGGGGGCGTTCAAAACGCAACACCCGGAAATCCATACGGGAGTCGCATCCGCGATCGGCAGCGGTCGTGCGTGAGCCGGGATCTTACCTGGCTGTTTTGAAGGGGGCGCTTGGATAGGCTGGGCGTTTTAAGTCAACATGACCTCAGCGCTAAAATTCAAGGGCTTTTTGTGCTGATTTTTGACACAGATTGTCCTGCCCATTTATGGAGCCTGACTTTTTTTTTTCTTCCATCATCTCCGTTACACGACGTCATTTTGAAGAAACGTCTCCGTTACGCGACGTCGCCTTTACTGAAGCTTACCAGGAAACCAAGAGAAAGAAAAGCGGCGCCTCATTTCCCGAAAATAATTCACGCTTGAGAAAAATTTTGTTTTTGCGCATCATCATGCCTTTCCATTCACGTCCAGTCAACATTTGTCTTTTGGCGTCACTGCACTTTTTTTTTTTTTTTTTTTTTGTCAGCGTCTGTTGCTGCCGCTTTTTCATCCGGCTAGTGCCGACTTCAATCTCCCGTGGCCTCCGCACCAAAGCCGGACAAAAGACCGAATGCGGCAGACGCACGCTTCCCCTTGCGGATTTTTCTCTCCTTCTCTTTCGCTTTTCTCTCCTGGCCGCCGCGTCCCGTGTCACAATGGCCGCCTTGTCATCTCTTTCATCTGCCGGCGCGCTCGTTTTGTTGGCAGCACAAAGACGCCCGAGAGCGCCGTCTTGGCGGGAAGCATGCAGCTGCTGGCCGGCGTTAAACTGTGCACCGGGAGAGTCATCACCAACCACCCGCACTACGAAGACGAGGAACTGAGAGACAGGACCAAACAGGTTGTCACAGCACGCGTGATGCCACTACATTCCTTTGTCGCTTTCCCGTAAACATGCTGCACTGCACCCGCGACTGGAACGTCCGTCTGTGCCTTGGCACAGCAGCTTGTCCATTCACATCCACGGCCGTTCATTCACATAATATCTAGTCAGGTCAACTTTTCATTGTATACACACACACACACACACACACACGCACACATCTGTCTGTTCCTTTCAGACACACAGAATGTAAATTTCCTCTCCATTCACATCGACGCTTGTGCCTTTTGACGAAACACGAGTCACGCAGGCGTAAAAAGAAGTTAACCCCAGAAACATGATCGAGTGTTTCCTCATGGGCGTCATTTTTTTGTTTTTTTACTTCAGCCTTGGAAAAAAAAAGCTACAAAATGGTCGCCCGTGGGCGAGGTCACAAAACGGCGAGGTGCGGGAGCTGGCATGTAGCCAAGATTTTATCGTCTGTCACTGCAGAAAACCTCGAGTGAGGTTTGTTCTAAATCGACATCTGGAAGAGAGAAAAAAAAAAAAGACAATTGTCAATTTATTTAATTGGCCCACCAGAGGAAATTGAACATTTTTCCACATGAGTGAGCACGTTCGTCGACGCACTGACCGGCTGTTCGTGTGCCCGTCGTGTCTTCAATGATGGAAGCCTCTCCACAAACAAACAAACAAACAAAAACCCCACAGCAGCACGCTTCAAAATGTTTGCAATTGCGAATGTTCCCCCTGTCGGGACGGTTATCTTGTCTTCACCCCCAACATGATCTCAACATCACTCTGTCCATTTGCGCGTACACGTTTGTCCATTCCAGGGTTGGAATTGTTACTTCGATTTTTGTTGACTTCAAATTCAGTTAGTTTGAATTCATTTTTTGAGCAAGTTCCTGAGATTTATTTTTTTTATCCGAAAATGTTTTGTTTTTGTTTTAGGTTTTGTTGTTGTTGTTGTTCGTTCTCCATAATGAACACGAGCAAAAAAAAAAAAAGGCAGCCCCCAAATTGTCCTTTTTAGTGTTTGGCTAATTGTGTACGACTCGTTAAAGAGCATTTGTTTTAGCCAGCAAATTGGACCATTTTCCAGCATGACAAAGTCAGCCGGCATGTTGTCGTTTGCCGCCTTGCCGGAGGGGCACGTCGTCCGCCGAGTGGCGTTTCTCCAGCGAGCTGCGCCACACACGCAAGCAGTGCGCTAATGGGACAAACGGGAGGCCTTCTCTCTCTCTGCTGCGTGCCCGGAAGCAACATGAGCACCGCTTTGCTAATGGGCCCCGAGTGTCCCAAATGATGGAAGACACCTCACGGCGGCGGACCGCAATGACAAGAACAAACAAATCACAAAACGATGCCACCCGCTTGAAAATCTCGGCAAACGGCGACGCGGCATCAAAAGCGGCCTGTCCGTTCGCGTCCTCGTACAATTCAAACTCCCGTCGAGCCGTTCGCATGCGCTTTGTGGAAACCTCTGCGTGTCCGCTCACATGCACGCAGGATAAGAGCTGGGCCGAAATTGCATCACGATTTTGAAGTCGGCTTCTTCGCAGTCCCCCAAGTGTTGGAATAAAAAAAAAAAAACGATCGTGCCGGACGGCGCGGTGTGTTCGCAAAGGTTCCCGACGTCGTGAAAGTCATGTGACGCGTAGCAGGTGACTTCGTACTTGACAAAGAAGAGAGCGCTCGAGAAGAACGTGTCCGACATGCGGCCACGAATAAGCATGAGGCGACGATGGTCGTTCTGCGTGGCGCCGTCGAAGCAGGTGAATCGACACCGTTTTGAAATCCGAGAAGAATCGTTTTTAATTCGTCGTGATTTCGGTATCAATCACGGTTTTAGTTTTCCGTCATGGCGCGGTTCTCCCCGTAGTGCAAACGGCAGGCTGAGTATTGTCGTCGTCTGTGTTGGATGTTGGAGGTGTACCAGGTGTACGCCCGCCGCTCCCCGCGGGCCGTCCACGCCATCCTGCAAGAGTTGGGCGCCGACTACGTGGTGTTGGAGAACTCCATCTGCTACGAGCGCCGCCACCTGCGAGGATGTCGCCTGAGAGACCTGCTGGACTTGGCCAACGGACATGTGGGTTCTCCTTCTTTCGCCTTCCTCTTCCGCAAAGGTCCATCGGGTCGTCCCTTCCGGTTGACGCTCTGGGGGGGGGGACAGAGGGGGAGGAAAACAAAGGGGGTAATAAAAGATGATTGCGAATGAGCCAACATTTATAATGAATGAATGGATAAGGACTCAAGGTATTAAAAATTAATCCAGAAATGATTTCAGTGGAAAACAGAGAGAATGTTTTTTTTTAAATTAAAAAAAAAAAAAAACATAAAAGTCAAAAGTCCATAAATGTTCCAAAGATAAAATTTAATATATCCCAAAAAGTGGTCACGAAACTGAAAAGTAATGAGTGAAAATGGACAAGAAAATGAATGCGGGTCAAAATGAGATGCATGTCTGGAATTTGAACTTACTTGTGAAAATGGGGAAAAAAAAGAAAATACATCAAAATCAAGTGACAATAATATGTCGTGATCAATAAAAAAATGTCTAAGAATGAATAAAAATGTGTAAAAAGACGACTGAAAGCTGAAGAACGAAGTTTGAATTTCATTTTCGCATCAGGTTCACATCAAGACCGAATCAAATCAGCCATGTTCTCTTTCTGGCCAATCAGATCATGGACGGCGAAGGCGACAACGACGCTGACCTGGTGGCCGCCGCCCACCCGAGATTTTGCGACGCCGTCAAGACGGACTCGCCAGAATACGCCGCCTTGTTCAAAAGAACCTTCCAGAACAAAACCTTCCACGTGTACCGAGTCAGGAAGAAGGCCAAGAAGAACTCGTAAGATGACAGCAGCTGACGCACATTTGCAGAATGCCTGAACACCGTTCTTTGCTGAGTTTTGTTGTCCTTTCAAAAAAAAAAAAAAAAACGTTTGTGCAATTTGTTCAGCTGTGCGTGGAATAAAAAGCACATCAATTTGGCGAGTGGCACTTTTTGGCAAGGCACAAGAAAATCCAGCTGATGTGACTTTTTCAAAAGAACAAAATGCTGCCCACGGCTCCTGAAGTTGTTGCTCGTGAGCGATGGTGACTTTTCTTTTGAAAGGAGTAGATCAAACTCATTTGCTGGAAAACCACTCCGAAAATATCAGCGAGTCGAAGTGAATTTTCATTTGAAATATTTGAACCGCTACAACCATTTGAGATCTAAACTACTGCTGAGAGGCGAGTAAATAACTACTGAGACTTTGGCAAGATTGTGCGACCAAGTAGCTCGTGAAGAGAAAAGGCTGTAATTATCTTTTTTTTTTTAAAACAAGTCGGTATTTTCCTGCCTCAACCACAAGCGATATGCTACCAAGCGGCAAATAACATGCTAGTGATTGGCACTGACTTTCCTTTTGAAATCCTCGACGGTTAGGAAGATGCTACCAAACAGCTCATGATTTTTTTGGTGATTTTCTTTTCGAAAAAAGTATATTTCAGTGGACCACTACTCGATACGAGTGAGTGGATCAACGTGAGTTCTAAACTGCGAGCAAAATGCTCGCGACTGGCCATCATTTCCCTTTTTGAAAGAGTGAACGGCTGGAGTGTTTTGTAATAAAATCTGAGCTGGAAACCCCTGACAAGATATACTCTACAGCTAGTACAATGCGATCAAGGTGCTAACTTTGCTAACAATGACTCTTAAAATGCTAGCGAGTGACAGGGAGATTCTTTTCTCAAGTGGAGACAGTCTAAAAGGATGAATAACGTCAGCGCCAAAAGGTCAAATTGGCTGGCACTCAAAAGATTCTCTTTTTTTGGGAAAATGGCTGCCATTGAATGAGTTTCGCTTGTTTACATGAAGCATTTTACACTCTAGGAGTGGAATTTGAGGTCTAAACTGGGGAAATGCTACCAAACAGTACAACACTGAAAATGCTAGCTAAAAGATTTGTGCATAGTCTTTTTTTAAGGAGTATTGAACAGCTGAACACGAACCACTCACGAAAAGCTACCAAACGGCCGGTGAAACGCAATTAAAGATGCTACGGAACTGCGAGGAAAATGCTGCCGAGTGGCTGCGATTGAACGGAGTTGACCGCCGCAGTCTTAAGTGGGAGACTCTGGATTTGAAAGCACCAGCTAAATTTCACCAAACAGCTCGTGCGACGTGAGCAAAAGTGCTCCCGAGCAGTTAGTGAACCCCAGCTCGGGAGCCCTGTTGGGATTTCTGTCATGTTTTTGCTTCCCCCCTCGCCACCGTTATTCTCATCAGTCCAATCCTCGACCTTGCACTCCAATCATCGCACGCACACGCACACAGTGGCATGAATAATGGAAGCCGTGAGGAAATTGAGGTGCTGATTCTCTGTGGCAATCCCAAATAGTCCCAGCGAGTGTTGCCGGTGCATCACTCATGTATGAAAAGAAGCTTTGTGGCAGCTGCGGAGGAGTTGACAAGAAGAAAAAGACCGAGTGGAGAATGTGGCACGTTTTCGCAGCACGTGATTGACAGGCGGCATCGCCGTCACTAAACGTTTTTTTTTTTTTTTTGACATTGACGACGCCAGTTGCGACGAGGTGACGCTTTGCGCTTTCGAATCAGTGGGCGCGACGTCCCTTGCGCGGCGCGAACATAAAATATTTTCGAAAATTAAGATGAGTGAAGAGCCGGAAAGATAAATGACGCAAAATGGAAATTCATCTGTCCCCTAAAAAAAAAAAAAAAAAGATTGTGGTAAAAATGAGCTTTAAGTCAGTGCTTCTCAAATTGAACATCAAAAACAGCGGGAAAAAAAAAATCTCTCTATTTCAACTATCACCATCATGACCAATACAGTAGGGTAGGAGACATAAGTGTTCATCAGAAACGAGACAGATTTTATTCCTCAAGAGAATATGAAAAATGATTGTGGGCAGCATTATGCGCTGCACATAAAATTAGGAAACAGCGAAAGAGTTACTCAGTGACCATTTCAATCAAATGTCAATTCATAAAAGAGTGAAAACAAGCAGTTGTTCAACGTGAAATGCTGTTGTACTCAAATGCCAAAACTGTGACGTAAGCAATGATTCTTTTGAGCGCCACGAGACTCTCACGGCACGCCACTTAGCAAACGGGGAAAAAACAGGTACATGGCAAACTTTCTGTCATCTGGCGGAAGAGCGTTTGAATTCCTTTGCCCGTTACGATTCGTGGTTGTCATGGAGAAATTAAGAACATTTTTTGGAGGGGGGGACAAAACAATTGGGGTGACAATAATTGACAGTGCACCATTCCCCCACGACACACCTGATGATTTCTTTCGAGGCACACTAATGTTTCACAACACACTGGTTGAGTGCCACACTTTAAGGTTCACTGCTTTTGGGGGAGGAAAAAAAAGATTTTTGTTTCAAAACAAGAATAAAAATGATGGAAAAAAATGAATCCAAATGTCTAATTTTTACCATTTAAAAAAAAATATATATATGGGGTGGCGGGGAATTGGCTAATCTAGTCAACATTTTCGCCTCAAAATGGTGCTCTTGATAAAAGAAAACAATGATGTGAAATGTTTCTTGCAAAAATGATGAAAAAATATGAAAATGTCATCTTTGACCAAAAATGTTTTTTACAATAATGCAAAATGTTACTCAAGAAAAAAAATACAATAAGCATATTTTTAAACAGCCATGATCTTTGATTATTGGAAAATAATTTCTTTTCCTATTTTTTTCTTGATGGGAAAGGATAATATGGAGAGGGAAATTTGTTCCAAACACGAGTAAATAAAAGTATTCAATAAAAGTAATTAAAAGTATTTCATAAAATTTAAGAAAAAAATTAAGGGTATGAAATGAAAAATTTGGGGGCATATTGAAAGGATGTCTTTGAAGAGTAAAAAGTGTTCCAAAAAGAGTAAAGATGGGAAAAGGTTAAATACTGAGCATGTTTCAAAATGGATGAAAAAAACAAACAATAAGGATTGTGAATTGCTCATCAAAAACAGTCGACGTGAAAAAGGCTGAACGAGGTGGAAAACTAAGATGAAACGGAAAAAATTGTGCATCCAGCCACGGTCGCTGCTCATTATTGCGCCCTCACCAAAAAGACGCTCGGCCATTTTGGATTTGCACTCCGGCAGCAGTCGTGAGTGGCGCAAAGAAACGCGCTTGATTGAAGAAAACAAACGAGAGCAAATACAAAGCACAAACCTTATCAAGGCTCATCATCGTGGATGATTTTTTTTTTTTTTTTTTTTTTAGAAAATGATTTTTTTTTTTCTTTAACTTCTTGATTGTTTTCCACTTGGCTCTCCCGTTTCTTTCGTTTGCGGCAACAGCGAGCGTGTCACATAAATAATCTGTTTCTCTGTCTATGTACAAGGCCGCGTGAAGAAGCGGCGCGCGTGCGCAATCAACATCACACCGAAGGAAACGGAAGGCTCACAAACAAAGCCAAAACAAAAGCCCGCAAAGATCCCTCCTGAACGTATGGACAAAAGTCTTGGGACACGGCTCGTCGTCCAGCGATGGCCGTGCGAACGCTTGCATGAATTTGGCGCTCAAGCTTAATCGAGGCGGCGCAACCAACTCGACGGCGACCTTTTCCAACATGGTCTACACAAACATCCTTTTGCTGTTGTTGAGTCGCTGCCAAGTGCGAGAAATGCTGAACGAGGTCAAAACAACTTTTTCGACAAACCTGCTGAATGTGCCGAAATCACATCACAAGAGGGAAGTGGCTGTGTGTGTTCGGATGCTGTCTCGTTTTAATAATACTCCCAAAAGTCAAACCTTGCTCGCAAGCTGAAGTTCACAAACCCCGGAGAATTCATCCTGGCCCGAGCCGGCTGATTTGCACCCAGCCGATCCATCATGTGGTTGGTGACGGGGCGAAAACTCTTCTCGGCTGACAGTCAGCTTGATTCACAAATCAAGGTCGTGTTATTTAAGACGCCACACACACACACACACACACACGCACACGCACACATGGGGGCGTGTAACTCCAGGAAAAGTGAAAATAAATGACAAATGACTATTTCAATAATGACATTTGCGAAAATGTGGGTGAAAAATGGCCACAATATTGAAAGTCCTCCCCCTCCTCCTCAAAAAAGTGACAAATTGTCAAAATAGTGCAAATTGTGAATTTGAAAAAGCATGAGAAAATGAGTGAAAATGGTCCAACTGTACGTGTTAAAACGTGAACATTTTGAAAGCTGTACAAAGCAAAACCAAAAAAAAAAAAGTGCAAATTGTAAAAATAGTGGAAAATGGTTTACAGTCAAATTCGGTGCAAATTTGTCAAAAATTGGTCTCTTTTTTTTTTTGCCTAACTTGCCGTGTCTCAATAGTTTTGTCCATATCGCCTCCCCACAATGATTTCTGTAAACATCAAGGAGTGTTTTTTTTTTCAGGTGACAAGCCACAAAAAAACAAAAAACCAAAATGGGATTCTCTTTTTTTGTTTTGTTTTTGAAGCTGCCGCGCTTGTTTTGGCGGCTTTCTTCTCCGGCGTGCGACATCGGAACCTTCCACTGCTAATAGCATGAGCAACCTTGACACCTTTTCCACATCAAATTTCCACATTAGCGTGTGCGACAAAGCTCACGGCGGACCAGCGAATCAGGCACTTGATGACATCGTCAAGCTTTCTCATTTCTTTTTGATGCCGGGCCAAACGGTGGGGTGCACTCGCGCACTCGCCTTCGCCTTCCTTTGCGAAGTGTTTTTGCCGTCATTGATTGGCGGGCCAGCGAGTGAGGAGATGAAACACTTCTTAACTCCCTGCGGCTTTTTTTTGTTGAATTGTTAATTGTCACCATTTTTGAGTCGTTGGGATGTCCGGCGAGAAAGGCGCCGCAGCATTGTCTGCGCAATTGAACCGTTTTTGCGATGGTGTTGACCAGAGACATGCTTGATTGTGTACCCAATAAAGTGGCCGTCAAGGGATTATTTACACAACAAGAAACAGGCAAAGAGGCAAAAAATACATTTTTAGGTGTCTCTGCTGTTCTGCGTATAACAAAACACACAAAACCATTGATTTTCACATTTACGGGACCTCGGTTGACGTCGACGATGGCGACGGCGGGGGTCAGCCGCCCCGCCGCTCCACCCCGAGACGTCGTCCTGAAGCTCGACCGCCACGTTCCGTTCCCCGGCGAATCGCCTGGCGGCAAATAACATCAAGAGTCGGTGTGTGAGCGTGTGCGTGTTTGTCCGGTAGGTCACCCGCCGCGCCCCGGAAAGGGTCCCGTGCGGCCGGAGTTCAGAGGTCACTGGCCTCGGCCCGCTCGTACAGCGCCCTCAGCTTCTCGAAGCGCGGCCCCCAGTCCCCGAGCGTCTCCTCGCGCCGGGCGTCGGCCGCCCCGTCGCCGGCGTCCAAGCCCGCCGAGCTGAAGGAGCTGAGCGAGCCCGCCGGGGAGCCGCCGCCCTCGGTGGAGAACACCTGCAGCGAGTCAAAGGGCCCCGTGTCCGGGTGCTGGTCGGCGTCGCGGATGATCTCGCACAGGTAGCGGGCCAGATCCTGGCTGGAGAAGGACAGCGAGCGCCGGCCCAGCCGGGGGGGCTGCCCCTGGGCCGGCAAGCGGGCGGGCGCGACGTCACGCCGCGCCCCGCAGGACGCCCCCGAGGCGGACGACGGGTTTTTTTTCGGCGGCGGCGGTGGCGGCGGGTGGTGCAGCGCCCGGGAACGACAATATTGCACCGACTGGGCCGGGCTGGGCTGCAGGGACTTCTGGAGTTCGGCCATGTCATACGCGTTCTGCACAAACAAGCGCACGCACTGGGCCTCATTCGCTAAGAAATGCCGAGAAAGCTTCCGCGTCAGGGGGGGCAAAAGGCCGTCACGACGTGTGAGCATTTTTCCACGTATTCACTCTTACGATATTGATGAGTTCACGCTATTTTCTGTGTTGACGCTTGAAAGCGAATAGTTTGCGTCAGGCTTGTTGACATCCGACACAAAATGAGTTCTGGCTCGGATGCTCATCCGTCGCGGGACCAATCACTCGCTGAGCGCTGATGTGACAGGGAGGAAAGTGACCGCGAGGAGGCTGAAGGACGGACGAGCGTCGCCGCGATGATGAGTTCAAAGCCTTTTGGTCTTTTTGGGGGCTTCCGGAGGGATTTAATAACAACGCTCGACTGAATTTACGCCAACATCTGCGCCTCTGCAACAACAACACGGGCGTGTGCGCATAGATGGCGGGCTTTGAAGGACTGTCGAGTGTTTGTGGGGCACAATTGAGCGTCGTCACGCGCACCAACACTGTTAATTGTGTTCACTCTTGTCTCCTTCGCTGTGAAGAGGCATAGGTGTGTGTGTGTGTGTGTGTGTTTTCAAGAACAATCAGACATGGTAGAGATTTGATGTTGCCATGGCAACAGCATCAGCATCCAGCTTGTGGGTGTGTGTGAGTGACGTGCACTAATGACACATCACGCACACACACACACACACACACACACACACACACACACACACACACACACACACACACACACACACACACACATGTTGGTGAAAGCGACAACAACGTGTGATGACCCGTCAGTCAACACGGGTACACGTGTGAATGTGTAAAGAAATGTCTGTGGGAAAAGGAACACGCGCGCTTTTGTGCCTGTGCTGCAAGTGCACGATGGAGTAAGGTCAAGTACACGCAGGAGAAGACAAACTGAGTTTGTATGCATGCTTGCATGTATATTCATTTCATATTTGGGCCATTTTTCATATTTGATTTGAGCTGTTTTTCACATGGGGATCTACTCTTATTTTTTTCCGACAGTGTTTCTGTATTTTTGCAGCAATTTTTAAAATTTCCTTCGCAATTTAAATTTTTTTTTCAATCATTTTTTATATTTATTTGCACATTTTCAGGACAGATCTCATGTTTTTGGTTTATAATTCCATTCTATTTTGTTTGATTTATATGTTTATTCTTTTTTGCAACATTTGTTGCTGTTTTCAATCGACAATTTTATCGTATTTTTTCTTTGTTTTGTTTTCTATATTTATTTATTTTACATATTTGAGATCGTCTTTCACTGTTTTAATTTTAAAAGTATGTTTTTTTGTTTTTTTTCTTTTTTACCAGATTTTACAAATGCTTTGTTTGAAAGTAATTACTGTTTATTTCGGAGGGGGGGAGTTTTAATTTTTAGTTCTTTCACAGCCTTTCACAGCCACAGTTTACTTTTTTTTTATTCTTTGCTTTTGGAGACGGGCCCATGTAGAAACGGGCGTTTGTGCCGTTGCGGGAGCGAACACAGCCGATTCGATTCCCGACCAGTCTCAGCGGGTTGACTCGTTCCCTTTAGATTTAGCGCAGGGGAGGCGCGCGGTCAACATGGCGGAAGCATCACGGAGTCCATGCAGAGGATCAGTGCACACAAACGATGTCCATAAGGAACCACGAGAGGATCTCCACTTGCAGACAATGTCAAGTTGGCCGCGATGCGGTACCTGGTCTTCCTCGCCGCCGCCCTCCTCGTCGTAGTTGAGGACGTTCTCTCGGACGTCCTCCCAGCCGTCGTGGTGCGCCGACACGTGGTACACGCCCTCCTTCAGGCCTTTGTAGCTCCTCCAGCGCGTGTACACGAAAATACCCAGCAGCAGCACTGAAATGCACCACCACCGTTATCATCGTCAGCATCTTCTCAATTTTCATTCCTATTATTCCTCCAAAATGAGGGGGAAAAAAAACCCAAAACAGTTTTGTGGAACCAATTTCACAGATATTTAACATTTTTATAAGTTTACGGCGTTAACCTCAGAGTGCACAGGTACTGGGTTCAATTCCAGCTCCGGCCTCCCTGTGTGGAGTTTGCACATTCTCCCCGAGCCTGCGTGGGTTTTCTCCGGGTACTCCTGTTTCTTCCCACATTCCAAAAACATGCATGGCAGGCTGATTGAACACTCTAAATTGTCCTCCGTGAGGTGTGAGTGTGAGTGTGGATGGTCGTTCGTCTCTTTGTGCCCTGCGATTGGCTGGCAACCGGTTCACAGTTTCCCCCGCCTACTGCCCGAAAATGGCTGGGATAGGCTCCAGCGCCCCCCCCCCACACACACGTGAGGATAAAGCGGAATGGAAAATGGATGGATGGATGGGTGGGTGGGTTTATGGTGTTCAGCCAACTGTTGAATTTTCACTTCTATTTTTCCTCAAAAATGAACACTTTTCACAGATTTCTTCACGTATTAGTGTGTTTACGATTGGCAAACAACTTTTCAATTTTCCCTTTTTTATTTTTGCCCATTTTGCTCGTTTTTCACTTTTTTTTAAGGATTTATTTTACTTTCACTATTTTTTGCAAGGGGGGAATTTTCTTTAGTTGACCAATGAACACAATTTTCTTTTGCAATTTTTTTCCAAGAAAGTTTGGAAGAAGACGATCCGTCACGCGCCGACGATCGCCACTCACGCGTCAGCTGACCATCTAATACGCGTGCGCCCGTTTGGCTGGAAAAAAAAGACGGACGAGTGCGGGAAAGGGAGGTAAGGAAAAAAAAAAATCAATAGTCATTTACTGCTGCAGCGTAACTCCACTCTGACAGATTTGCTCCATCAAAGTGTTTTCACAGTGCAACGCTCGAGCAGGAAGAAGAAGATGAAGAAAGACAAGGAGGAAGAGGAGGGAGCCGAAGAACAACAACAACTGCAAAGTGAGACTGGAGAAACTTGGCCAAACGGTTCCCCAAAAACTGGTTCAAAAACACATTAAAAAAAATGTGATATTGTGAAAAAAAAAACAATCCAAAAAAATGACTCGTTTAAAAAAAACAAGAAAAACGGACAAGAAAAATCTGTGAAAAAGGTCAATATTTCCAAAAAAAAATCTAACCTAACAATGACAGTCAAAGTCAAATTTGATTTTTTTGTTGAAAATTTTGATTTTTTTTTGAAAGTTGTGATTTTTTTTGAATAAAAGTTGCGAAGAATACATCAATGAAAAATAAACTGAACTGATTTGTGCAAGAAAAGTGAGCAGAAAAATTGTGGAATCACGGACAAGAAAAATCTGTGAAAAAGGTCAATATTTACAAAAAAAATCTAACCTAATAATGACAATCAAAGTCAAATTAGATTTTTTTTTTGTTGAAAATGTTGATTTTTTTTTGAAAATTTGATTTTTTTGAATGAAAGTTGCTAAGAATACATCAATAAAAAATAAACTGAACTGATATGTGCAAAAAAAGTGAGCAGAAACACTGAAAAAAAAACAGTTTGAAAATGGAGAAAAATTGTGGAATAGTGAATTGAATTCTCAAACAAAAACTAAATCGGGAGAAAACGTCAAATCTGGAAAAGGGTTTAAAAAAAAAGAAGAAAAGTCCTTCAAAAAACTCGAAATCCTTCAGAAATCCACAAAATTAAAAGAGGAACACTAAATCGGGAGAAAACGTCAAATCTGGAAAAGGGTAATACCTTTAAAAAAAAGAAAAGTCTTTCAAAAAACTCGAAATCCTTCAAAAATCCACAAAATTAAAAGAGGAACACTTATCTAAAAATGTTTTTAATGAGAAAATAATGAATAAAAGTGCTGATTTATCCAAAATGAATGGAATATATTTCAGTGTGTGTAAAACTGAAGTGAAAATGACAAAAATTGATTGGGTCTTCTGTGGGTGAGCTGACAGACAAACTAACACTGCTGATTTATCCAAAATGAATGGAATATATTTCAGCGTGTGTAAAACTGAAGTGAAAATGACAAAAATTGTCCGAAGGTTTTAGATTAGGTTCAAATGATTGGGTCTTCTATGGGCGAGCTGACAGATAAACTAACAGAGATCAAATCAAGTCAACGTGGAAAATAAAGAAAAGAGAGAGGATAGTTAAAAAAAAAAAAAAAAAGTAAATAAACTAGTGGGAATGTGAAAGCAACACGAGCACACAGAGATCTGAGATGAGCTGCTGTCAAGACAGATGCTCCACTTGCATCGATTTCCGACACGAGCTGGGGGGTGGCGGGGGGAAGAGAAAAAACACAAAAAAACGACACAGCCTACAGGCCAAGTGCTGCGTGTGAGTGTGTGTGTGTGTGTGTGTGTATAAACTAAGGTCAGGGCCAAGAACAAGATGGATGTTGTGGGCTCAAAGGCGCCTCTCTGGAGGCCAAACAAAAGATATGGAACATCTGATCACTGTTTCTGACCGTCGCGCGTGCGTGCGTGCGAGAGAGGGAGAGAGAGAGAGAAAGTGAAACATGATGTGTTGATTTGTTTTTGCTGCCTCCAAGGTCCCATGGCTTCCTCGTTTTCTTTTTTTGTTAGTGGGTTTTTCCTCCACCCGCCCCCATGCTTCAACTTTCCGACTCCCTAAGTCTTCTTCATCCTCGGGTCAATGTGGACATCAAGTGGATTTAAAAAAAAAAAAAAATCCGAATTGATGGTTCTCATTTACTCGGAGAAGAAAATTTTCCACAATTCAGGACGGGAGTGATGTGGTTCTTTGCAAATGCTACCCGCTGAAGGCATTTGCCAACATCGTTTTAAGATGAGCCACCCGGTCAGGCTCCTATCAAGACACGTCAAATAATAATAATAATAATAATATTAATTATAATAATCCATTTTATTTAGAAGCGCCTTTCAAAACACTCAAGGACACTTTACAATCAAGAACAAAACAATAAAACCACAGATAAGATGATAAATAATAAGAGAAGAGATGAATTTAAACCGAGTATGCGGTTTTGAATCGGTGGGTTTGGAGATGGGATTTGAACGTGGCAAGAGAATCAATATTACGGATGTCGGGTGGAAGTGAGTTCCAGAGTTTGGGGGCAGAGCGGCGGAAAGCTCTGCTGCCCCCCCATCCGGCTGAGACGGGCGGAGGGTACACAGAGGTGGAGGAGCTGTGATGAAAGGAGGGGGTTCTCCTGATGAAGAATTCTGGACCAGTTGAAGTTTCTGGAGCAATTTGTGATGGCCACCGAAAAGAAGCGAACCGCAACCATAAAAACGGGAGCTGACGACACCGTGGACAACGATCGCAGCGGTGTGACGGGTGAGAGAGGGACGCAGGCCATTATTGATATTACGGAGGTGGAAATATGCCGAACGGGTTGTGTTCTTGATGCGGGAGTGGAAAGTGCGTGATCTTCGTCATCATGAGATTGGAGAAATTCTCAAGTAGTCGAGCGCAAGTCGGGTTGATTTCGTGACGTCCTTGGAGAGCTCAGGAGAGCTGCGTGTGATTTGCTGGACGTCGTATCAGATTTCCAATCTAATCTTGGGAATTTTTTTTTGTCCGTGGGAAGGGGCAAAATCCAGACAAAAACGGCCTTATGGTTTTCGTGTGTTTAGCAGGCCAAGATTTGAGGTAATCTTGTGAGATTTACTGACGCACTGCGATGATGTTTGCTTTCGTAGTTTCAGTTTATTCCGTTTTTCACGATTCACTGGCAAGATTTTTGTTGGAACGAGAGGGAACGGAAATTTGAAGAAGATCAGAGAGATAGGGTGGGGGGGGGGCAGGGTTATGGATGGCTTTAAACGTACAGAGAAGCATTTTGGAGTTGATTCTAAGTTTGGCAGGGCTGTCGGACGATGAGGGTGATGTGATGAAAGGAGGGGGTTCTCCTGATGAAGAATTTGAAGAATCCAGTTGAAGTTTCTGGAGCAATTTGTGATGGCCACCGAAAAGAAGCGAACCGCAACCATAAAAACGGGAGCTGACGACACCGTGGACAACGATCGCAGCGGTGTGACGGGTGAGAGAGGGACGCAGGCCATTATTGATATTACGGAGGTGGAAATATGCCGAACGGGTTGTGTTCTTGATGCGGGAGTGGAAAGTGCGTGATCGTCGTCATCATGAGATTGGAGAAATTCTCAAGTAGTCGAGCGCAAGTCGGGTTGATTTCGTGACGTCCTTGGAGAGCTCAGGAGAGCTGCGTGTGATTTGCTGGACGTCGTATCAGATTTCCAATCTAATCTTGGGAATTTTTTTTTGTCCGTGGGAAGGGGCAAAATCCAGACAAAAACGGCCTTATGGTCTTCGTGTGTTTAGCAGGCCAAGATTTGAGGTAATCTTGTGAGATTTATTGGCACACTGTGATGATGTTTGCTTTAGTAGTTTCAGTTTATTCCATTTTTCACGATTCACTGGCAAGATTTTTGTGTTTGTGCGGTTTAGCGGCAGTCTCGTGAGCTCCAAAGAAGACTTCTGAGATTTGAGGACTTATTGGCAGTTCCGCTGTCATTCAGGACTTCAGCGTCAAAGTCCGTTTAGCAGTTTCCTTCAAGGTTTTTTTGTTTTTATTTGTCATCGTGGAGCAAAGGAGCTGAGAAAGCCCGTTTCTCTACTTTGTCATCTGCATGCTTGTCTCGTCGCCTCCTGCCTGCTGCGCGTATTGTCCTCAATTAAACAAGGGGAACATTGTGGCGGCGCCGACAACAGCTCGTACCCTGCGGCACATCGTTGTCATCCTCGGCAGACGAAGAAACACGAGAGGGGAGGAGGCGGCTGTTCCACACACTCCATTGTTTTTTTTTTTTTTTTTTTTTTTTTTATTTATGGAGCAAAGGAGTTGAGAAAGCCCGTTCCTCTACTTTGTCATCTTGGGCTTCTTCTTTTTGCACACGTCCGCTTACGCGGCCGTGTGATCTGCATGCTTGTCTCGTCGCCGACTGCCTGCTGCGCGTATTGTCCTCAATTAAACAAGGGGAACATTGTGGCGGCGCCGACAACAGCTCGTACCCTGCGGCACATCGTTGTCATCCTCGGCAGACGAAGAAACACGAGAGGGGAGGAGGCGGCTGTTCCACACACTCCATTTTAACACGACACACCAGCGCAACAAGATGAGATTGCGCGTGTGCCGTTGTCAATGGGGGTTCGATGCGTTTGGCCCTCAAATCCTCCCAAGGCGAAGCGAAGCGTACCGCGGCGACAACAATGCGCAAATACCAACGATGAATCATTGGACGGTTCTCAAATCAAGACCAACAAGTGAAGTGGATTAATTAGTCCTGTAAAGTCTTTGTATGCAACGGGCTCGCGTAACAGGTCGTGCGGAAGAGACCTGGAGTACCGAAGGGCTGCTTAGAATACCGTCCAACCACTTGACGAAATAACATTTTTTCACGTGTACATGCGGAGAGGTTGATACGATAAAACGAGCAGATTCGGTTCCAGTCCGCTCAATTCCGATTGGAGTCGCTATGGCGCAGCTCGAGTGGCGCAAACCGGGGTCACGTCGGGACTGTCAAGGTGGCCCCGTCAATCATATCAACTGTCACTTTATTTGACGCATTATTTTCCATCCATCCATTTTCTGACCGGCTTCTCCTCAAGAGGGGTCACGGGATGTGTTGGAACCTATCCCAGCTGTCTTCGGGGAGTAAGCGGGCGGGGCACACCCCGAACCGGTTGCCAGCCCATCGCAGGGGACACAGAGACGAACAACCATCCGCACTCGCACTCACACTGAGCCATGAATGTTTTTAGAATGTGGGAGGAAACCGGAGTACCCGCAGAAAACCCACACAGCCACGGAATCGAACCCTGCACTTCTGCACTGTGAGCCGACGCGCTAACCGGTCGACCTCCGGTTCATTATTTTATTGAATAAAATTTGATATAAACAATAGTGCAATCTATTTTTTTTTTCAAAAAGGAAAAGAAGGCAGAAAGAGAAATGGCGTCTCCATTGGCAGCATTCCGCTCGAGTGCTCTCAAGGACGCTTTTCCAACTCGCAAAATAAAACCAAGCAAACAAGAAAAACAAAAAAAAAAAAGACAGACGGAAAATGAGAAAATAATAAAATAAGAATCAGGTTGCATGTTATGACCCGGGAGAAAGAAAATGCAATCAAACAATCAATAATAATGAAGGTGAGCATATTTAAATCTCCTCTGGCAAGAGGAAGGTCATTTGTCGACGCGCCCAAGCGTGATTTGTGGTGGCGGGGGCGGGAGGAGGGGGGGCAGACCCCGGAGCCGACACGCTTTTGAAAGAACACACCATTATGCACATGCACAG